TCATAAACATTTCGAAGATCAATTTTTTTTGCGCCACATATATATACAAATATTTTTATACCATTGTACAGTATTAAGGAATGCATTTATTTAAGTATACATCTTCCATCTTTTTTTATACAATAACAATTTTTATACGATAATTGTAAATCTTATTTTTTTTTTATTTTATTATGGCATACTATACAAACATTTGTTTATCAAAAACAAAAAACTCATTATATGTTACTGAAACTCGTTATTTTGTAAAATGTGATCAAGTCATAAAATTGACATATCCTTAGAATTAATATTTAAATTTTTTTATACTGTGGAATTTTCTGTTGAATCAATATTTGTAAAATTTTTACATATTAGTTGAATTAATTTCATTTTGTTACATTTGAGATATAATCGGTAAGTTTTACCTTACTCGAGCAATTGTTATTAGTTTTTTTTTTTTTAATGTAAAATTTAGACAATATATGATTTATTCCTCCTCATTGTTTTTAAATAAAATCAATGATTTTGTCATTGAAAATCATTATTTGTTGTTTTAAATATTCCTAATGAGGGATTGTTAAGTTTACGCTCTAGGTTAATATTATTCTTATATAAGAATATAAAAATTTGCAAAATTAATTAATTTTTTTTCAAATAATGTAATATTTACATAGTTAATTTTTTTATTAAATTCAGGATTAGAAGTGTTACCTCATTAAAATGATATCGGTTTAATTGATATTACCAAATCATTCAGATTGGTCCAGTGATTGTTTTAAATTCCTTTCACACATGAGTTTCCTAGTATAAAAATAAAAAAATTTCCAAAAATCAAAATTTAAATAAAACAGATTTATAACCTTTTGAAATTACAAAATACTGGTATTTTCTAAAAAAAACCCTGAAATCTATGAAATCGTACTTGACACTTGAAAATTCCATTTGTTTTTCATTATAAGGTTTTCTAACATTTTCAATAACTAAATAATATTTTTAAGTAATTATGTAAAAAGTTTTTTTTTATACATTGACTCAAATTTAAAATTGATGATGAAGTACAATTTTTTTAAATATTATTCAGTAATATAATTGTATTATAAAGTTTTTTACTTTGGCCTTTTTAACATAATATCTTATTTTTTCTATGGTGACGCAAGCATTTTTTTTTAACTTGTTGTGTTATAAATTATAACAAAAACTAAATGTTTTGTCATTTTCATAAATGAGATTTTATTAATAATAATATTTGATTTAAAAATATAGTTCATTATTGTAAAATTTATTATACATGACTTTTCGTCACAGTGTAAACCATAAATTTGATATTAATGATCTACTTTATCAAATCGAGGTAAATATCACAAACAGAAATAAGTAAATAACGCGTACTTATTATAAATACATATATATAAGTTTATAGTGTATAAAAAGGAACTTGTCTAATTGTTTAGCCAAAAAAATAAATAATAGCAATAGTACATCTAAAGATATGTTTATTTTATTATTTGATTTTAATATTCTCAAATGAATGATTACATTTCTTAATATAACAGCTTAAGATTACATTTAATAACTTGTCAAATAACGTAGGACATATATCATCCCTTTAATATTACGAATAGGCAACCACTATGATTTCAGATGGGTGGGGTATGTCACTATTTCATATCATATTGACTATCCATATTGGCGTTAATTTGATAATACACTACAAAATAAATGAAAATAGTTACAACTACATCCATATAGTCTATAATTTATTAACGACTAGTTCGGGTAGATTTTGATATCGTTCTGTTGGAGGTATTTCCGGCGATAGATTAACCTCCATAACGCACTATCAACGAGATAAAGCAAAGTAATAAAAACAATGCCTATCATCGTTTACCGAACGCTTAGGCCAGCTGGTCTCCGTAAAATTCGTGAAAGTAAAAATTTCTTTTTCCTACGGACAGTGTTCGATTTAAATGTCAGCAGCACTGGACTACTTACCTACTTAAATCGTTAAAAAAAATTATTATGCTGTGATATTAGATAGTCTAACAGTTCGTAGTTGATGAACAAAAATCTAGTAAGAATTTTTAAGTAAAATTAATAATAAAATTTTTCTTAGTGTATATATGTATTACAGATTATGTTTGCACGAGTTACGTTTTATCCGACTTTGTTGTACAATGTGTTCATGGAAAAAGTAACACAACGAAACTGGTACGATAGGGTGGACGAACATGTTTTACTAGGAGCTTTACCGTTTAGACATATGAGTCAAAAAGTAAATTAAAGTCCTTAAAATTAAATAATAAATACTTATGAAATTTAATGTATGACAACTTATTTACAGCTGGTTGACGAGGAAAACGTTAGATGTATAATTTCAATGAATGAATCTTACGAGTTGGAACATTTTACTCCTTTACCCGAAGTCAGTTTAAGATTAATTATTTTATTTTATTTACAAATTAACTTATAAATACCTTTTTTATGTTATAATTAAACAAAAAATAAATAAAAAAAAAGTTTAACATGTATGATTTTTATATCTTGACAGGAATGGAAAAAAATGGGAGTCGAACACTGCCAACTGAGTACAAGAGATATATTTGAAACGCCTTCACATGATAACTTAATTAAAGGAGTTTCAAAGATGGAATCGTTCACTAAAAATGGAAAATCTGTATATGTTCATTGTAAAGCTGGCAGAACTCGAAGTGCCACACTCGTTGGATGTTATCTTATGCATGTATGTTTTTGTAAGAAGTTTATACAAAAAAGTATAATAATTTAGTACCGTTATTATTACCTTTGTAAAATATGCAACTCTGCACCTTGAATGCTATCATTGCCCCTAAAAAGCGCTTCAAAAAATATGAGTAGAAATAATAATATGTCGGTACTAACTTATTGGCACTTAAATGCCTAAGCATTTTATACTCGAATAATTTTTTTTATTTTACTACTGTGTTTTAAGCATTTTTATTACGGTACAGAGGAGCCTTTTTTATGGTAGTAATAATTTATGTTTTACATCCTCTTTTAAAAGCTATGCTCTTGTGTTAATGAGGATAAAATACCTAAATAGTCCAGCATTTAGTACGCTTTAGGAACGCGTCAAGTCGAACGCGTTCCCGGCTGAGCTAAGTAGGCATCCTACTAATTTCAATTTTTAAACAAAAATTTTAATTTTTGTAGAAATACAACTGGACTCCTCAACAGGCAATCGAAAAAATTGCTTCTAAGCGACCTCATATATGGTTACGTAGTCAGCAGTTGGAAAGTCTAGACAAATACTACAATGGTGATATGTTAAAAAATCTATTGTAGAGACATAATCTTAGTTTTGTTATTGTTGTGATTTTTTTTATTCTTGAGTTTTTCTTTGCTAAATATCTTTGATTAATTTAACAATAAAAACTCATTATTAATATTGTCCATTAAATTCTATTTGATTCTTGACAGAAGTCGTGTTGAAAGGTGGTGAAAAACCAAATGAAACATTGGAATGATGGCTGCTATAACCATTCTATCTAAATCTTCTGCATGAGCAACCCATACAATATTAACATTGGATAATTAATACTAATATATGTTGATCAGCGTTTCTTCACACCTTTATGATTTATCCATTAGCTCAACTCTTATATATAACTCTTATATATTATCGATTATCCCTTCAATCGATAACAAACGTGGTGATGGAGTAAAACTGTGATCTCTAATTGTTTTTTTTTTCATTAAATAAGCTGTAATGTAATTTTTACTCTGTATAACCATAGAATTGTGTTTAGTTTTGTTACCTATTTTAGAAAATGTTTATTTTAGATAAGATTGAAATAGAAAAGTAGTTTAAGAAGGACAATATGTTGTTGAAGTGTATTCATCAACGAATGATTCCAGACAATAATGATAAATTGACAATAATTTTTAGCAGTAACTATTTATATAGACTTATAACATAGGGTATCTGTATTAAGTCTAATTAAATAATAATAATTTGTTAAGTACTCGTAGAATTTACATTTTAATTTATTTAAATAAGTCAATATAATAATAAGTCTAATACATTAGGAATAACTGTTCCTTTTCTTCCAAGTATTGTGAAAACATGTATTCTAAGTATTATCTACCATTGTGAACAACATTCCCTTTGATAACGGTTCGTTTTAGCAACAGAAAAATTGTGACGGTATTGCGATTTCAATCATAATTTAATGATACCTTTCCGAATTTTATATTATTATTTATTTTATAATGGGTAATTTACCTTTTTATAATTGACATAAAGATAAATATATTAGAGTTTACAGATAAACTCAATGAAAAACCTTCAAAAATAATATTTCATTTTTGTCTTCCATAAATTTTTTTTTTAGTTTTAATCAATGATAATACTGTGTTTTAATTATATATGTATACTAGTTTTCTTTAACCAAATACTGTAACAAATGTTTTTATAACATTAGTCGATATTAATTTGAGTGTTTTATTTAGAATGTTTATTTAAGTTGATTACATTTAAATTAATTTAAAATTTTACATCACTAGTTGAAGGCGAATGTAATGTGTATTAATGTAAAATGATTTTAATACAAATAAAGTTAACATTTTTAGTGTAATTTTATGAGAAAAAAAAAGTGGTAAAAATAAATTAACCTCTAGTAGGTGTTATAATTTTATGTTTAAAGAAATACACGAAATCGAAACATAAAGAAGAAATATTTTATAAATATCTTTAATAAAAAAAAAAGAAACTGTTTAATATAATAACTTTATTTGTTTAAACGAAATCTCGTGAGTCTCAAAAAGTTCTATTTGAACCGTTTGCTAATAGTTCGAGTCGGCGTTTAATTCGAACAGTATATAAAGTAAATTTCTATTGTGTTTATCGTTTGATAGATACCGTTAATAAAAGTTCAAATGTGACTATATCGTATCGTTGTGGTACTTTAGTTTACACGTAACTTTCAACGGTCGCTCTTTAAATGTGACGTGTGTGGGATTGCGTGACTTCGGCAAACCGTTTTTTGCTGATCTCACTTCAATTAAAAGTATTAGACCTGAAAAATAATTTTTATTAGCGTTTGCCTGGCGCTAAGAACACCTCTGTTGACATCATTGATACTGTGCTGGAAACACGAACTAGTCCGAAATATCTGTGAACTATCGTGGAAATATTCTAGAATTTTCAAGGCTTTATCAATGTAAGATTTCGTTTAAAATTATGTAAAAGCTTTTACTTTAGTTATAACTAGAGAGAGGATTTTGATCTTTTCACGTGTCGTTCGGGCAAGGTTACCAATGCCGATAATTTTTCACTAATGACACACTGGGAAAAAAACCGAATTGTATAACTAGAGGATAAGAGAATATTTTGTCGTCAAGATAAATCGTGCAAGTGTTAACAACTTTGTTTTGGTTTTCAGTCGTGTACATTTGTGATTACATAAGATGCGCAGAACAAGTCTATTTGATGATCTCAAGGGCCAAAATGTCGCACTTCATAACGAAAATGTACACGCGCCTCTATTTAAATAATTACAATAGAGAATTGCGTGTAAAAATAAAAGAATGTTCAGTGATTTTCTTGAGCGTTATTATTTTTAAAATTCGATTCTCTAGTTTTAACAACAGAACTGTTTCTGTTATTATAACGAGGAAATTTTTTTTTATTTATGCCACCGTGATTAACAAAAAGTTAATACATTTTAAACCCTGCGCTACACATGTGTTATTATTCGGCATGTCAAAACCGTGTCTTGTAATTTATAATTCATTTAAGTCCGTAACTTAACGCCGATAATAATGCACCTCTTAAAAAAAATATTTAACGTGTAAATTTGTTTACTTTTGAATTTATCGTTTGAAAACAAATTTTATCTTATAACTTTCGAATCTAATCGTGTGGTGCTTCAGTACGAATTTAATATTCGTCGTAATTTATCAAAGGGCCGAATTTTCATTAAACTTTCCGTGTACGATTTTTAATTTTATCACTCGGATTCAACTATTTTGACGCACAAACAATGTTTTCGTATGAAACGGCGTACTCGACTTTTACCTGCTAAAACCGAACCAATGGCCAACAAATAAAACGCTCCTTGTAAAGTTTTCATGGACATTGCTATTTTATGGCGGTCGTCGTCTTTTTCCAATATGTCGGCAGCCGATCCCTCGAGTACGGGCTCCACCGCTATCTCTTTTGCGGTAGTCGACATGAGCTTGTCGTTGAGTTTTTGATATTCTTCTTCGGTAATTTTCGATAAAATACCGCTTTCGAAAAGCCTCATCAATCTGAAAACGGAACAGACAATTGTCATTTGGTAAACGTTTTGTTTTGGTCTATGACAAATTTTTTACACGTTGTCAAAAGTTTCTATGTACGGACAGGCGCGTTGAAAAGCTATAGCCGAGTACCTGGTGTTGAGTTTTTCGCTCAGATGAAAATGTTGAGCCCCTGAAATATACACATTTATGAAACATACATAATATCTATTTCTATGAAAAAATTGTAAAACACTCTCTCATTACTTTATTCTATTACTGTTTTCAATTAAAAATGAAAACGAGCGAATTAGTTCTTTTCAGCTTTTTTAAACGGAAGAAAAACTCTGATGATTAAATGTTCTCACCAAATCTTTTGATATCGTAGTAAAACGTTTCTCGACCACCTATCACTGCGTAATGTTTGTTATCTCTTACTAGTTGCATTCCTTTCTCGGTGGATCCGATCAGATACTCTCTTTGTCGCTGCACGAGTTCAGACAATGTCTCGTATACACCTGTGCCGTTCTTAAGAAACACACATATATATACAGAAAGTTAATATCAGCGTTGGTATAATTACAGGGTACGTGGGTGTCATATTCTCCCGAATTAATAATCACATAGCGCGTTATATGGTGTGTATTAAAAAAATCGGGGAAAGTGGTCTAAAGACATTTTTATCATTATTTCGTCAGAAGTATATTATTTTTTATGAAGATTTTTGTTCTCGAAATGAGTTTAAAAGTTTCCAGATTAAAAAAAAGGTTTTTATTTTTCACTGTATCGTTAAAAAAAATAATTTTTATTTTATGACTATATTTATTTATAAATAAACGTGTTTATAATTATTTGTACAATTTTTAAAAAATTTACTCGTTTTTAATTTGTAATTTTTGAAATATGTGGGATGAATTAGGTAGTACATATTTATGTACTTTGTTTCGAAGAGTGGATGATATGGAGGATCGAAGAGATTCCTTGAAGAGGCCAAGCATTAGGGAATGTTTAGTCAAAGGGTCATAGTTATAAATATAGATGTGTTTGGGTTTTTCCACGAGAGAGGGAAAATTATGCAACCAAGACAATTTTTACCGATACACACAAATTGAAACAAAAACGTATCTTTAACGCGTAATCGTATTCATAGTAGGGGGTAACAACTCCTTTCCTTCGAACGTCTGTCCGACAGTTTTATCGATCGTTAGAAGTGGGTTACGACCACTCGTTTACTCGTTGGCTACATAAAAAAAACTCCAGACTTTTTACTGATTACCTCGAGCATTGCTTGAGATGCACTTTGAACTTCGACCAGTAACTGCAATCCCGAATCGCGCATCGCTTTAGACAGTTCGTCCAACGTGTTGATCGGAGATTCTGTGGAAAATTTATCACACGTGTCAATAGGAGGTCCGGTACGACGACCAATTGATATGTATTTTTTTTTAGCCTTGACGATTTTTGAAATAAATTTCATAAATCATACGTAATTTATATTATTATTATAATATAAATTAATATTACTATATATTTTGTGGATAATTTTCGTATAAATTTATTCGTGGCCATATTACCTTTTGGCGGTCTAGCTAAAATCGACGTCAGACTGGCCGAATAAATGTCGCCGATCACATATGTCGCTGACACAATTAACAATCCGGCTACGAATCTGATTTTACAGTTGTCCGATGGTATCACGGCCGCTTTTTGTTCACAGCAAATCACAAAATTTGTAATACGGATTAACCGTGTGTAAAGAGAAAGTAAAATTAAATTAAACTCATTAAATACGGACGTTTCAGGCTCTAAAGTTTCATCTACGTCAAACAAATCTCGAAATTATACGTTTTGTTATTTAAAATGACATATTTGGTTTATGCGATACGCTACAGTCTTTCGCATTTCTTAAAATCGTAATCAGTTCGATAAATTTACCGTGCAAAAGTAATTAAAAACAGCTGGAAATAGTAGCAATTAATTATCGTATGAAAGTAGTAGTCGGCCGTGTGTAGTGAACATCTTCAACCCGCGAGACGTCATTTATTTCTTCGTTTGTCGGAACGGAAACGATTTTTCACTCGGTCGTTTAACGCCTTTAATCTCAACGATCGTATGCGGCCGAACAAGTAACGTGTCAGACTTTCCTTCTCAGGCGCTTCATCGTCGTCGTCGACGAGAACAATGGAGAAACACCGCGAGCTACTCCGCGCGAGCGTTCATCGGACCGGTTAGTTTTCGACCGCGCGTTCACCACATCACACTTCTCAGCGCGTACAAAGGAACGCGGTGACTGTACACCGTTATCACAACCGTACGATTCGCCGCGGTGGCCGGACGCAAAAAATGTTCGGGACACGCGGTAAAACTCTGTGGACCAGAAGACACCACCGGTCGACGTCCGAGTTGGACACCGTTGACGCGTCAACAACACTACCGGCCGACCGGTACGGCGACAACGGCACGCCGACAATCTCCGAACGCGGTTGGTGGTTTTTTTTCCTGTTTTTTTGTACGGCCACCGTATCGGTAACCGCCGCGGACGACGACCTATTTTCGAGAATCATTCGTCCGGCGGCTTCCGTGTCCGACGACCGATGCGAATATCGTATGCGCAGGGCTTTGACCGCCGCCAGTTCGATGGACCTTTCTCGGTACGCGTTGCATCGCAGGTTGCGGACGGTGCCGGGAGCCGAAATGTACGTGACCGAAATTCGAGCCGCGGTCGCCGACGACCGGTCGCAGTTCGGTGGCCGTCTCTACGACATACGGCCGTGGGCTCAAATCGCCGGATGTCGGTACTATCCGTCGAAGAGAGCGCTGCACGCCAACATGCGCTTTGGCGGCCCGCTAACCGTTACCGGCACGGTGAGGTTGGTGTACGACGGAAACGTAGACGGCAAACGAACGCGGCAGTTTTTGAGCGGCGGCGGCAGTGATTTCGAGTGCCGAGTGGTCGCACGGTTGCGGTCCGTCGGCGTAGACTTTACCGCTTCGCCAGCCGCCGATTCGTCCGCCCCGGCCGACGGGTACGGGTCGGACGACGTCACCGTATCGTCGTCGGTGACCATCAGAACGACGGCTTCGTTGGTGGACGCGGTCGGTCAGAGTGCTCAGGTTTACGCCGGCGGTGCGGTCAGGCCATCCGCCGGACCGGTTAGCGTTCGCGCGTACAACTGCGAGAACCTGTTGTTGTTGAAAACGAACCACGACGAAAGCGGACAGTCGGACACGGCCGATTGGCGGCGGTCGCCGGTCGAAGACATCAACGACGTTTGGACGACGGCCGACGATGAACTGCGCAACGACCGAGACGACGTCTATCGAATAGAAATCGACGGGTCCGGGCACGGCGAAGGAGACGAAGAGTTGTCGGGGCCCGACGGATCGAGGTTTGTATACGACGCTACGAATTTCGAAAGCTACGGACCGAGAGTGCTGAACAAACGCCGTCGTCCTCCTCAACCACAGCAAGGTGGCGGCCACGACAGACGATTGCGTGCGGTTATTGAAATCGAAGAATCTTATGTACGGGGTGTCCGCCAGCTACTGACCAAATATTTGGAACGCACTTTGCAACAGCCTCTACGCGATTCACTTATGGTACGCATGGGATTCGTTACTTCGTACGGTTAAGTGGAACGACGCCATTGAGCGATTTCTACCCAATGATTTTAATTAAAATCTTAGTCTTAGTTTTTAGTCATATATTTATTTTACTTAATTGTTATCGTTAATTTTATTATGTATGTGATTTTTTTTTATGTCCGATTTAACAAAAACGATTACCGCGATAAAAAATTGTTTTTCGAAAAACGTTATTATTCTAATTTTCGTAGTGTTTTTAAAATAATTGTTTTTTATTTGTACCGGTTTTTAATGTGTCGTCGGCTTTTTGCCGTGATCGTGTGTGTTAAATTCTATTGAATTTAATAACCGTTATTTATTTGTATAGTAAACTAACAAGTCATTAGGAAAATTTATTATTTTTGTGTAAAAAATATATGTATTTATTTGAAATGTCCGTGTAGTATGTTTATTCGTTTATTTACCTTGTTGTAAGAACACGGTGACTGACCACCATGCGCATTTCCAAAATAACCCAGTCGATCTTCGACGTCCGTCGCCGTGGCGGTTTTCCACCGTCGAAACGATTAGCAAATATAATATTGGTCCGGCCAACACGACAGTCACTACCAGCAACGGCCAGACCTAGGATTTCGTGTAAAAAATCAACTGTTATTTTTTTATCTAAAAACATCTTCGTTCACGCGTAGGTTTCGGCTGAGCCCCCCCCCCACACTACTAGGTCCCTTACAAACAGACTTCGATACACGTGTAATTGACGTAGTATATTAATAAATAATTATAATTTAATGAAAAAATTCTTACCGACCAATGGAAAGGCCTGACCAGAGAAAACGCTTCGTTTAACCGGCCGGGCGCGTGCGTTAAAAACGCTTCGTTGTCGACTAGGGTGAGAAAAGAAAAGTCCACTACCAGATTTCGTTCGTACGTTATGGACAAGTCTCCGACAAACCAATCGGCTTCCTAAACGCGTTAAAGTTAAAATGTATTATTTTCAAACGGGTTTACTTAATTTTTGAGGTTTAGAGTCGAGCAGAGGATTGGTTATCATCGTACCCTTAGCCAAATCAATCCCAACACTCCTTGTACGGACGATCCCGTACTATCCAATCCCGAACCCTGTGTCCTGTCTGGAGGATCCATGTAGTTGTAACTGCACAAAAAACCGTAACCGGACGGATCGATTAAAAAAAAAAAAAAAAACTCATCGACAAATTACCGAAAATTCAGCTTGTCGGCCAATAGCTTGATGAGTTTATCGTCTCTTCCGCCTTCCACTCTAAAACTACTGTCGTTCGAGTATTCGACGAACGTCCACGGGGGTTTCTACGAAACAACAAAAAACACAATTACATGCGCACGTGTGTAATTTTTAAACACTAGGTAGGACACAATTTAAACGGATTGACGGGGAGGGGGAGGGAGTTTGAAAATGACAATCGTTTGCGTTTGTTCAACATAATAGACGGGCGTGTGTTAACTTTCATTTTCGGGGTAATTCTTCTAGTGCGATGAATACGATTGTATTTAGAAAATAGTGTTTTACTCATCGGAATTCACTAAAAGTGCATCCTGACAAACGTGTTGTACTGTACATTTTCGTATACCGTACGTGTAACACGGGCACTGTAAACCGCCGTCCCTGGAAATCGTTGTAAACTCTTTTGGTAGACGGCAGCAGAGGAAACCTGACCAGCCCGTCCACCGACGACCACCAGTTGACCATTTTCAGTTGATTTCGGCGGCCGGTCGAGCTGGCCTGATTGTAGTAAATCTGGTAGCTGAAAATCGTTTGAGATCAGTCGGCGACCATGTGGCGCGCACCTTACACGAGTATACTCACAATCCGGGCCGCGGTGTCGTGACGACGCACACGCGCATCGATTCCGTCATTGACGTCAGGAACGATCTAGTGGCGCGTCTCAGCCACAAAAACATGTACACTATGTTTCGGGACGTGAAATCCTTTTTTCGAATCTATTTCAATGAAAAATACTTATTACGCGTAGAATATAATTTCGTTTTGAAATTTGTCGAAAAACAACAACAACAACTTTGCGTCTAAGACGTTTTGGAACGGCGTCTACTGTGCGCAATTGATTTTTCTTGGCTTGTGACGCGCACACACACGAGGCGTTATGAAAAATAAATTATTACCGTTGAAATTAGCGACTCCATTAGAATCGGCGTCGAGAAAACCACGTAGGTCATTTGATGTCCGTTGCGATTGACCCTGTTGATGTCCGCCAGAACCTGTTTTTTAACCATTGTCATCGATCTAATACATTCGTACCGATAGATTTATACGTACCGGTTGAACGTCATCGGCGACCGACAAAACGTAATGTGTAGTCGTTATGCCTTTACCGTGCAGGGACTTGACTGTATTGCCTGGGAAATCGTCCTCCGCGGCCCCTTAACACAAAAAAAAAGAAATTACCGTCATACCTCCGTTTATAGGATTTTTTTTTTTTTTTGGAAAAACGTTTCCGGTCTACGCACAAACACGACCAGACCGATTTCAGAGAGGAGCATATACTTTTAAAAGGACTCGAAAACGGTTTCGTTGAAAACCGCTGTTGTTAAATTCGGACGTCTCGGCGGTTTCTTTGGCTTCCCCCCTCCCCCCAGTCGACCGTTTCTCATACCTTCGTGTACGACCAGAGTACAGTCCGACGGCGGAGTCGTTGCAGCGATTATGTCCCGAATGGCGTTTGTCAAGTTCTCGTAGTCGACTTTTTCTTGCCATCCGCCGACTCCAACTCCTCGTGCCACCGTGTTTCCGGGAGACCGAGAGTCGTTGGTCCTGCCCATCGCCACACTGCTGGTCACTACTACGACAATGTCAATAACATTAAAAAATGATTAAGCAGTTTTTACAAAAGGCAAGGCCTTTCCGTCATATGAATTTTTACAACACGACAATCGTCGTGTTACGGTACTCGACATATGCGAACATTTTTTACTTCGATTGCGTCCATATTGAAATAGATTATTTAATAATTGTCAATCGATTTACCGAGTGTGTGACTCGACGATCGTTTATCGCTGTAAAACGAGGCAGATTTAACGAAACGTAGGTAAAATATTTTAGAAAACGTATAGCAGCTGATAAGTCTACAGTATCGTCTAACACTATAAAGCTCTTACCTAATATCAATGTGATGACCAGCAGACGTCTAATCACATCCATTGTTCGGTTTTGAGTCGATAGTTTCGTTTACGGACACGGTAATTAAAGGTGCGATTTAGGTCGAGCAATTGTTGCGATTACACTTTGACGTTTACCTATTGTCTTATACCCTCGTCTACGTAATAAAATATCGAATTGTAGTTTAATATTTTATTATCGCCATGTCGAGTATGGACATTTTTTCAAAATTTCATATCCCAACAAAAACGACACGAGAAATCAAAACCGTTCGTTTTCAACTAATATTTAATAACTAATATTTAGTTTCGATACTTAGCCGACATAATTGTTAGTTTTATTTTTGACGTGTTTTTTTTCTATACACACGAATTACTCAGCTTTAAAAACTGCCAATTTACCCTAACGATACGACCTGATTTTAGCGCTGTATAGTGTTTAGAAAACGTTGCACTCTGATTTGTAACAAGTCGAAAAAAAAAACATAATTTTAACGACATACGTGTCAAGATTGTGTTCAATTTAAAAAAAAAACCGTCTTGATTTGGGTAATTTATTATTCTTCATTAAAACGCGATTTTTCATATTTTCGCTTCGATAAATTAATTAATCTGTAGACATATTTTCTTTCGTTGCAGTAAATATTTGATTTTAATCTACTGCTAATCAATAGCCTAGTGGATGAAACGCCATCTATTGAAAAGATTTTGTATTTAATTTAATTATGTTATATGGATTTATAATATTTTTATCCCCGTTATAATGTCATTTCTTTTATGTTGTCTTTCATTTTTTACCAAAATCAGAACCAACATTTAAATAAATGTTTAACTAATCCGTATAGTTTACACACTAGCTTAGGAATAAAACTTGCACTGTTTACACGACTACATTATATTGAATATTAAACAACCATCGTATTTAAATAGTTTTTACTATTTACTATATGAAATTGAGAATAAAAGTAAACAAATTGTTATCAATGTGTTAATGTTTTCATGGATTGTCTTGTTGCTTGAAGTGCTTAAGGATTTACAGTCGAGTTCTTCATTACTCTGAAGATGAGTCCGAAACGTCAGAACTCAACTGCAAACATGGGTAAATCATTAAGCACTTCAAGTAAAAAAATTGTATTTTTTTTTTTCATTTTTGTACGTAATTTCAGCTAATCGCTTCTAAAGATAAAGTTGTAAGAACATAAAACAAAAAATAAATATAGAAAAAACGTTTTTATTCAGGTTTTTGATAAATTAGTGGTTCGCCGCCATGTATTGTAAATAAAATAATAACCGTCTTACGCTACGGATCGTTTAATTTTTCAAAATGTACTCACAAGTGTATTATTTTTGCCTATAAATAACGCCGTATTTTTGTAAACTATCAAACACTATTATTATATTTTATCATACAAGAAAAAGTAGTATTAGAGAATAATTGGTCGAATAACCACCAATTATTATAATACAATTTTTTGTTATATAAAACAAAATTTAAACTGTTAAACTTTCAGTGCTTATTTTTAACCTGCTGCTTTTTTAAAAAAAGTAAAGAAGATAACTAGTTCTTTTACAAAGGAGGTAAAAAAATGTTCTAAAAAAACAAATGAACATTTAATAGTATCTTAGACAAGCACAATTTCGAGTGTAAATAACTGTTAAATATAATATATAATCACTTAAAATCTGAGCATTTTTTATTTGTTTAATTTTTATATATAACATGAAAAATTTCAATGTAAAATTTGTTTAGTATACAATAAAGATAAAATACATTGATAAGTTAAATGATAATTTTACTACCATCTATATAGAACAATTTTATAACTTACAATTCAACTTACTGCGCATAAGTTAATTTAAAAAAAAAAAATGTTTTAAAATATCGTTGGGCTTAATTGACTTGATTCTTAACCTCTGAAAAATATATTTTTCGACAATACGTGGCAACGGAACCACCGGCCATTTGCACACTAAACAGTTTTTAGCAATAATGTTATTATCACTTGATAAGTAATTTATTAAAGTTATATAATATTTTGATTTTAGACTTGGAAGGAAACAAATGTCTACTTTTCCGTCTAAACGATCGGTTTGTTTTTCTAGACGGCAAATATGTTTTTTCATTTGTTTGATAATTGTTGACGAACCGTCGAGGGTAAAATTAAACTTGTACGGTCGCTAATTTCTGTCTAATCAGTCAGTACATATCATAGTTAGACGTGTATTTGAAAAATATATGAGAATTTTTTTGTATAACTTATACAAAAAATAAATTACAAACTTTGCGAGTCCTTGTTACAAATGATTATAATAGTTAGACGAATTCCATAGCTAACCCGATTAATTTGTATAACCACATTACTTTTCACGAGATTTAAATCGTCTCTGGAGAAGAATCATTGTACCTAACTAACGGGTATTATTGTTTAGCCCAAACCGATGCTGCATACAATTTGTGTGGGTATTATCAACACACTTTTCAACAAATTAATTAATATTTCCCAGTAATTTTTGGATTATGGTCTAGACAATGATTGTATACTATATATATATATATATTCACATAGATATATATATTCAATAAATGCATTTATATATAATGATTTATTTATATCTTCGTTTAAATAAATATAATTTCTTTATATATTATTATTATTAATATTAGATATAAAACTGGTAAGTCTTAACGAAGACGTTTTTTCAATTGTACTACTATCTCTAAATGATTATAGGTAAAATCATAACAATAAATTAACAACAAATCATATGCACGTATTTTAAATAAAATTCATAAATTTGTATACATATAATATGTATACAAATATTATTGTATTTATAATAATATAATATAGATTTATATAATTAATTTTATACTATTTACATAAAATTTTAACAATGTTGCTAGTTTTATTGAGCAGCTCTTTTCACAAAACAACGATACCATAATAATTAAATATTTATATTGTGAACGTATATAATAATAATAATAATAATAATTTACATAAACTCGATCGAGACACCGATCGACCGACCGGTGTCGTTATTGCTTTAAAAACATACAAAATAATAATAATAATAATAATAATAACATAATGTTTTTTTCTGTTAAAAATAATACTGAGAAGAGAAGCTTTGTGCACACGACGAGCTTTTGTGATAAGTACAACGCGTCGATTGCAATTATCTTAGTGGTTTTGATGAAATAATATTCTTTTACCAACGCGACATATATATATATATATACAATAAAGAGATCTCGATACTGTTTTTTTTTTCCTACTGGACGCTTTAGGGTCGTTATAATAATATTACTGTTTTACATATGTATGTCGTAAGGACGGATATAATACTCGTAACAGAACCGGCTTGTGTGCGTGCGAGCGACACCGAAGGCAACAACATATTTCTGCTGTCGTCGTAAACGATTTTAACTACACGCTGGCGCATACGATTCAAAACAAACTAAATCGAATCTCTTTATAATAATAATAATTATTATATCTTCGGCTTTGCGTAACGACAATGAAAAATATCTAGATATTATAATAAAATAATATATAATATAATATAATATAAAAAAACTTATGGTAACGACAAATCCTTTTTCTTTTACATGCGACGCACGTCGAGCATCGCGCACATAACGTTCGAGGGGAAGGGGATTTCTTGTGTGCGACCTTAGATATTAAATTATTGCAGTGTAATACAAATGATAAAAAATATGGATTCAAATATACAATATAGATGTAATAAAATAGAAAAAAAAAATTGAGCTGCTCCCGCCGCTCGTTCGTCGGCGGCTCTTTCCGTCGTAACTATAGAGCAGCGGGCGCGTACACACGCGTTTATACATATAATATCGTAACTATCAGGTACACACGTCTCTAGGTAAATTATCGTTTGTTTTTCGTCCGCGTTCTGCGCGACACTATCGCGCAGCTCTCGGACGTCCGCCAAACGTTCGGCCCGCCGCCGCTTCCGTAGAGTTGCCCACCGCACGTCATTGCAAAAGCGTCGACGTCTGAGCGTCGGTCTCTTCGCGTCGACACGTCGTCACCGACACTCGATGGTGTTGTAGGTGATGATCGCCGGCATAGCCTCTGGACGCGGCCTTCGAGCGATGCCGCCGGTGCTGCGGCCTGTCGCTAAACTTTCGCCGTTTGGGCCGTTCTGCCGCCGTAGTCCCGTCGCTCTGCAAAGGCGTCTGTTGATCGGACAGGCTCAACACGGAACCCCAATCGATGTTGGTAACGCCGTTACAGCCGTCGTCGTCGCCGCACTCGATGGACGACGTTCCGCTTTGGTCGTCGTCGTCGTCGTCGTCGTCATAGCTGTCCATCGAGTCGTCGTCCGAATCCTCTTCTTCCTCGTCATCATCGTCGTCGTCGTCGTCATCGTCGTATTCGTTATAGCGGCCGCCGTTCAGGTGGTGGTGGTGTTGTTGCTGCTGCTGCTGCTGTTGTTGCTGCTGCTGGTGGTGGTGGTGGTGATGATGATAGTAATGGCCGCCGTCACCACTCCCGCCGTGATGTTCGAGACGACGATCGTCTTCTTCGTCGTCGTCGTCGTCGTCGTAATAGCTGTACTCGTCGTCTACACCCGAATCTATAGATTCGTTTGTCGTACTACCGCCGCCGCGGTCGGGCGAACCGGAACCGCCCATCGTTTCGGACGGATAAGGAGTCGGCGACCGCCGGCGGTGTTGTTGTTGCAACTGATGCAGGTGGTGATTGTGGTGTTGGTGATGGTGGTGATGACGGTGGTCATGGTGATGGTGAAGGTGGTGTTGAAGGTGGTCGTGGTGAAGATGGTCGTGTTGAAGGTGGTGTTGATGATGATGATGATGATCGTGCGAGCCCGCGAGATGTTGCGGTCGGGGGGGAATATTGGCGTTGGTCGACAGCGATCGACTTGCCGCCGCCGCCGCCGCTTCTCTCGACATTTCGCGTTCGATCAGCCGTAGCGTGTTACAAATGAGCACGGATCTCCGTAGGCCGCCGGCTTCGCCGTGCGAACCGCCGCCGGACTTGCCCAGTTTTCGCATAGACGCGTCGAATACGGCGGCCCTGCGTCGCCTGTAACATTCGCGTTCGCAGCAATCATCCAGATTACTGCTCGCTCCGTTCGTCATCGCGGCCACCGTCGTCGTACCGCCGCCACCGGTCGCCATCGCCGTGACCGCAGACGTCGCGATCGGCGGTGGCGGTGGCGGTGGCGGTGACGCCGACACAGACGATGCACCGCCGCTGCCCAGATCCAAGTAGCATTTGCCGTTGGTATCGCACTTGATGGTCTGTTGCTGCCGCCAAGGACCTTGCCGGGCCGGCGTTGCCGTGGCGGCCACTGTCAGGCTACCGGCCGGAAGATATCGGTCTTCGTCGTCCGCGTCTTCGTCCACCCTGGTGGCCATCAGCGACGGCGGCGGCAGCGGTGGTACGGTGTCGTCCGGACTGTTTGTGGACGGCAGACGGCCGTCGTGGTGACGATGATGATTTTCGTCTCGTCTCGGTATCTTGGGCGTATGGCCATCGTCCAACACGGACACCGAAGACCTTTTACATCCATACGTCCCACTCAGCGGAGGTAATCCCATATTGTTTAACAAAATATTCTGAAAAAAAAAAACCTCGTTAAGCTATTTGTATTTTGTAACGAAAATAATAATAAAACACAATTTTATTATTTATCAAACCGACGTGTTAAAAAATTTTAACGATAGGAGTGTCCACGAGTATTGGTTATCATTTAATAAAAACCCTTTTCGTTTATCCAGTGTAGTGAATTGATTGTAATCGTAACGATATCGATTAGAGTTGGAGGAACGACCTTGAATTTCTTTTTTTTGCCCGGTAAATGTGATCTATTTTAGTATTAAACGTACGCGGCAAAGCAAATGATAACCTGTTGTATTTCAACAGCTGCTCGAGCTATTATTCGCATGTATCCGTGTAGTCGACGATATCGAACCGTTTTACACGAGGTACACGCGTGTCATACTCTAATTCAGTATTGTCGACTTTACTTAAAGCGATTAAACAGACTCTACTTGAACGTTGACGCACTTGTGGTGCTGTTGTTTTGCTATTATTTACTTACGCGCGCAAAAAATGCATTTTCGGTATCGTTTTATTTATTTATTTTATTTTTACCGAAAAATGTTTCTCAGATAAAAAACAAATAATATTACGAATGATATTTTACTACTTTGGCAGTGCTATACAACTAAAATTTAGTAGTTAGTTAACTATTATTATTAAAATATTTAATAGCAATCGTTTTATACAACTCGACATACCCGTAGCGCGATCTACAAGTCGGTCGGCCTTCGCATAACAGGTGGTAATTACGGCTAACGACACGCGCGTGTATAAAAATATTTATATTTTCGAAATGGCCCTTTTCGAATGAAAAGTCGTTCACAGAGTTACGCCAAGAGCAACCGAAATTAACTATCAATCGACTTTTTAATTTAGGTCGTCTAGTTTTGTCCTATGTTAAGCATCGCCGTCATATAGATGGCGCTCTTCTTAACGATTGGTCTTTACTTATTTGCTAGGTCGATTCTTAATGAAATGATAATAGGAAAATTAATCGAAAATACTGAAGAAATCGTCAGGCATCTAAGGTAGTTCTCTGTTTGTTTAATTGTATATATTATGAATACTATTAGCTAATTTAAATGGCGCTTCAAGAGAAAACCGACATTTTTTATGAAGGATGTCTTTTTTATTAATTGCTCCCCGACGGACAGAATGCATTTTAAATAAAATTTTATTCGAGTAATATTCCTAATATAAAAAGGTTTCAGAAAATAGTTTCATTAATAACAATGTTAGTGTGTCGTCAGAGGTAATGCTGCTGCACTTTCTCTCGTATGCGCGCGCTTTCTCTCTGCAGTCACAACTACCTCTATACGACCGTTTGACGTTATTGTGTGTGTGTGTGTGAATGTATATATCTATTGTTATTGTTTCGTCGTTGTCGGCATTTTGATGATAACGATTGTGCAAAATCAAAACAAATTAACCGACGTCTTTGTTTTCATTTAGTAGGGGTCGTTGAACGCGTCCAACGATTAACCCCAGAAGCCGAGCAAACAATAATTATGAAAAATAAATAATAATCAGTAAATGTCATCTTGACTAATTAATGTCTTTTAATACGTGACACATATGTATATAATTTTATACGTATTAAAAGAACTATCAAGCAAAACGAATACAAACGTTGTACGAAGGCCATTTCAAATGCACTTCGTGGAATCTAAGGGTGGAAAGATTGGCGGGAACATTTTTGTGCCCGTTGCCCACTTGTCTTGGCCGCACGCGCTCACCGACACAATCACCTCCTCCGCTTATAGTATACGTTAATCGCGTACCCCGTCCCCCAAAGCCGTAAGGGGTATAATGTTATGCTTACTGTCGTGTTATCGGTTGGCACCGAAGAATTGTTATTGTAACAGGTGTCGTCGTCACTCCACATCCGCACGACGGGCGCGAAATCGTGTTGGTGTTGGTGTTCGGTCGAAGGAGGAACCGTCGATGCTGCACTCGGCAGTACCGTCGTTGTCATTGTTGTTGTTGTTGTAGCTGCTCGTGTCGGTCGTTGCGATGGTATCTGATCGGCGTCGGCGTCTTCGGCGCCGGGCCAACATTATATTTTATTGCAACTTTATAACGATAGCAGTCCGGATTGGTGACCACAACAGAATTTTATGGCCCCGTCGAGTTCGAACTAAAGTCTATTGAAAAAAAAAAATATTCCCTAGCGAAGAATTCGTGTCGCTTTTAACACCGAAAAAATATCGGACACGCGATCGTTCACTGAAAGGCTTAAACGGTTCGTCACTTTTTCGATGAATTAAAAAAAAAAAAACCTATATCAACGCGACGTATTTTTTATTTTGTGATAGCACGGAATGCGCGTAAGCCACAGACGGACGACGGAAGCGCACGGCGTTGTACTCGTGAATGTTATGTGTGGAAGGCGACGTGCTGCTCTGTTGCTACTCCCGCCTTTCGTCCCGCCACTCGTTTCTCTACCGTTTCCATGCCACCACTACCACCACCTCTGCCCCGTCGACAACCTCTGTCGTTCCACTCGTTCCGTTAACTTTTCTACCTCCTCTCCCGCACGACCGTTTCATATTTACGACGGTCGTAATGGCGCGCCGAGCGCCCTCTCGCCGCCAAACGCAACGACGTTGTAGTAGTAATATTTTTTTTTCGTCGACCGAGTGTGGGAGGGGAAGGAAACGGCGGTCGTATATCGTTACGTTCACCACGTGTGCTGCACCGCCACCGCCGCGTCACGTCACCGATGGTAGGGAATGTTGCACCGCCGCCGTTGCGTTTTTGATCAACGAGTTGGGATTTTCTCCGTACCGCCGCCTTCGAGGTCGGCGTTTCTCTTATAATATTATAACGCGCGCCTTGAACGTCGCCCACCTTTCCGCCGCCGCCTACCCATTCTATCGCGTTTTACGTTGCTTGGCTGCTAGCGTATCGCACGCGTGTACATCATCACGAGCCGTAACAGTGTAGGGCCGTTCTAACGTAACGTACCCTCGATTTGGGTATGCAAGAATGGATATTTGAACGCGTCCCGAGTGGTATATTAATTATTTTCCGTGGTACTCGAAAAATAAAAAACAAAAACCAAAGTCTGACGGCCACCGAGTGTCTGAATTGAAAGTTGTGAAATCTCACGGCTGAAACTTGACGTCACAAAAGGTCTCGTTCGAGCGATCCGCAATGTCGATTTCTTTTATAATGAAAATTTTTCAGCTCTAATAATAAAAGTTTTTTTTTAAATAGGAACTGTACTTCGTCGTTAACGGGAACACTACGTTGTCGTGATCAGAAATTAAGTTCAAAAATGATTTGAGGGACTCTAAGTAACAATGGCGTAATTACTGTAGAGCAGTTGTTTCAGGGATGTTAGAAAACATTTTTTCACCAAAAACAAACTGATGACCTAAAAAAAAAAAGGCTTTAGAAACACATTTCATAAATACGAAATTCATATAATTTTAATAGCACAGGTTCGGGTTTTGATCGCTACTAATCACTGTAATAATTATTTCGCTGTAAGTGTTGGAGTCCTATACTTGTGACATTCACGTACACACTAGATCTCAAAAACTAATAGTGACGTAGAGGATCTGTAGTGGGTCATAGTGATACACAGCTTTGTCAAACATAAAACACGATGACCACTTATTGACTCAATGAGTGAACACGAGAACATCAATCTACAGTGTATAGAGTTCATCTTTATATGATATTATTAAAAAGATAAATAAAAAATTAACGCTGATCACTAGACTATCTCGGGCTCTTGGAAAATCAAATGTACAAAGACCTTCCTTTAACTTATACATAGAGTGTAGTTGTTACTTTTCAGTAAAACCAAATGATAACTAATTTTTAAAAAATCTCTATGAAAATTATCACTATTTGAAAACTATCGATTTTTAAGTGAAACCGCCGTACATTTAACAAGAATAAAAAAATAATCTTAAATAAGTAATTCAATATTACTGACGATATTCAGCAATTACTTCGTGCAATGTGCAACAGGGACGAATCAATAGTACCAAGGCGGAAATTTTTTTTTGAAATAGGTAGTAAAAAAAATTTTTCAATATTTTTTAGTCGTGCATCCGGGTTGTTATCGCACTCCAGCACACTGATCCGGTCCATCCCTGACATCCTGATACAACCTTTATTTTATATATTTATATTATAGAAACTGTAATTCATTTTACTCAAAACATTAAATAAACTATTTTATTCGACTAGATCGATTATCTTACAAAAATTACAAATCCAATTCAATAAAATAATTGTAAAAAGTAGAGACGAAGATACTTAGTTTTAAAATATTAATAGCCAATAATACACACACACACACACATATATATATATATACTGTATTATTTATCCTAATATTCTAATTTTCATAAATACTTTCAATGTTTAATTGGTAAAGATATTTTGGCATTTTTTATTTACTTATCATTTTTTTATTTATTAAAAACCTTTTTATCTACTTTACGTTACATTTTTTAGTCAACACGAGATTCAATTAAAAAAAATCGAAACAAAGTCATTCAAAACACTATTAACCAATGCTTGTACGATATAACATCAGTATTAATCAGGGTCGTTAAAAAACATGATTAAAAAAAAAAATCTGTTTAAAATATAAATGAACAATTTAAAATGTTCTTTGAAACCAATGTAAATTGTGATATGTTTGGTGTTTTAAATAACCAGTGTTTAAAACTTAACAACCCTGATAAAAACCATATAAATGAATGAGTTTTGTTTACAGTGATGCTACAGAGGCATAATTAGAGATTCGTTTTGGAAGAAGATATACATGAAAAAAATTTCACTATCTCTTTTAAACAAAAAAAATTGTATTCATTATGAAATTATTTTTATCATGGGGATAATGCTAACAACATCCCTCGTAATTACGCCAATATAATGTCATCTAAATTAATTAAATCTCATTTTTTTTCTATTATTTATGTCATTATTAAAATTTTACCATTCAAAAACTTTGATTTATTTGACTCTTCAATATCGAAAGACTCCCTTCCATATTTAGTTTGTAAATATACAATAAAGTCTAACATTTGTTATTATAATTAGTTACTTTCGAATTTTTAATTAAAATTTTTTTTTATTCAACGGGCGGCAAAGTTTTTATTAGAGTCGAGTTATTTTTTATTTCATATAAACAATTAAATTTATTAAATGAATAAATCGGAAGGGTGAAGGATGATAAAAGATTACCCCCACCACAATTAAATTAATAATCCACAATTATATTAAATCATAATTACACATTATAATAACATTCTCAATTTTATGCAATGGTTTGTAAGGAATGTTATATATAACACTCTACACACTACTGTGTTTAATAGCACTTACAGAACTACCAATGAAGGGAATTATCACTCTTTTTGTTTATTGAAATTCAACATTTTTAAATTGAAATATAGAAAATTGCTTTTATTGTTTTAAACAGTTATAGACAATTAAACACGAGTGAAAAAATTCATGACATCAGATATAGAATTTTCCTAAAGAAATAATATTCAAAATTATGTTCTCAAAATCCTTATCGATTATTTTATATTGTAAAATATATATAGAGATAATTATTTTAATTATTCTAATTAAACAGGCTCAAATTGGAGTGGGGGTTTGGTAGAGTTTAATACTTCTAATTTCAAAATTAGCTTCCTTAGAATTTCAGAAAAATTATATATATATTGATGTACAAAAAAATTTAAGAATGAAGAAATTAAACATAACGAGCTCTTCCAAAAATTTTGTAGAAATAACGCCTATGTTTATACTCTAGAAGTTAATGCAAAGGTGTTTAGTACATACAATATTGCAAAGCTCACATTTATTTTAATAATTTTCATTATCAAGGACATTACTACAAAAAAATGGGAGGATGGAAAACATGATATGTTGATTCAAATATAATAAGTAGAGGTAACTTTTGATAGTTTATTCTAAAATTATAATTTTCCTTATTTAATTAATTAACGTATTTATCAATTTACAAATTTAAAATGTTTATTAAAAGGTTCATTTGTTTTAGGCGTTAGAAGATTGAATTAGATGCGCTATTAGGACAAAATGTAAGTATTTCTTTTAAAAGTAATAACATTTCAAGTACACAATTGCATACCTCGTACACTGTAAATAACGCTCCTGTATAAGGAATCGCGATACTTTTAACTTACTAATTATACAAAAATTTTATTTTTATATAACCAGTGGAGTGTCTTCATAAGAGGAATGTTCCAAGACGCATCAAAAAGTGTACCCCCGAGACTTATGGGGACGTCTTAGCCGATTAACTCGATAAAAACTTATGTAATGTTATTTATAATTTATGATCTTACATTTATGTATAATCAAAGTTTTTAAAACAAGAAATTTTTTTCGAGTTATGTTAAAAGAAATTTCTTGTTTTTGTTTAGCGAAAAATTTCAGGAGCACATAAAATATAAACTGCCCCAAGGCGTTTAAATCCATAATATACCTCCGTACATAGTACTTTTAAACCCGACAGTAAAGAATTCCTTCGATATTATTGTTTTATTTTAATTATCTCCCTCGACAAATTGTACATAAGTTTATCCTATGTTTCTGCATTTGAAAAACATCTTAATCTGTAATGTAACTGTAGATTGGTAATCAGTCAATGGAAAAAATAGATAATAGATAAGTCGTCGCTTTATTAGTCTGTATTTCCAACATCATTCGTTCTCAAGACACAAACAATTTGTATTGGAAAATAATTTATTTTAGTTTTATAACATGGGCGTATAAAATTGAAAATATTTCAATACAAACACAACAAATACAATTAATTAACATAAATTATTATTTTTAAAATTAACAAAGTAAATTACATTTGTTTCATGCGTTATTAATAATATTCATATCAAAAATATTGTCAGGGTAAAAATTTATTATTGAAATCTTCTAGATATTTATTTGAGCCAACTTTATTTTACTATTCAAGAAAAATATGACGAATTAAAACATAATTTTATTTGTGTAACATTTTATGTTTTTTTTTTGGTTCATTAAATTTTCCATAATGACTTCAGACTCTATTATCTATTCCGTTGAGTACTGACGAATAAGTAAGGTACTGGTTAGTAATATAATTATAGAGTTGCTTTTAATACCAGAAAAATTGTTTAGCTCCCGAATTGTTTTGGTCAATCGATTTTTTATTTTTAGAAAATAAATTAGTATATAATCTATATACTATCGATTTAATTATTTATATTTATATAATATTTTTTTGTTATCACTTTCTTTATGTACGAACTTTTATGAAACGAAATATCGAATAATTGTATATTTAACAATTATTGTTAAATATATTTATAAGCTATAAAAACAATCTATTATTAAGTATATGATTGCAATTAGACTAAAATGACATGATGTCAAAAAATTACTTTTAAAATAAAATAATTGTTTACTTTTTGAAATCTATTTATAAACATTTAGTTGGTCTTTTATTTTTGATAGATAAAACTTGTAATACAAGTACACATTTATGAAATTTTGTGTTTGAAAATATTTTAATTTAATAACTACCCTTACACATATTCGCACAACAAACATTTATTTTTTTTGTGAGGTGGAAAGAAACTTATAATAAATTTGATGAGCCAAAAATAGAAGGTTAATAAAATGATCATAGTTGAATCCCTTTTTGGGAGAGTACAACCATCTGACACCACCTCTGATTATTCCATCACTTAATTTTTATTTTAATGTTTATAAGGGGTACCTAGACTCTCTTAATGACGAAAATATGTAGTACTCTCTTGTTATTTAAAGGGACCAAAATAAAATTTCATATGCATACATGCTTTACTTACATTTTATGTTTTTAACTATACCATCATCTATATGTTTCTATTTTATGGTCATGTTAAGTTAAATAATTTTTGTTTTCCATAGATTACATATATGACATTGAGAAAATTTTCTCATCTGAAGGTATCCAAGTAACTATACATAAATCATTTTACGATCATACATTAATACGCGTATTGAAGGGATTTTTAATCTTTTCCTCTGGAGTCTTAGCTCTCTCAAAATTTATCAAAATGCTTTTTTTTTAAATTACTAATATTTGCTCCTATGGCCCCTCTCTCATTCGCGTTTATTTATTCAGCTAATTAGTCAAGAATACTTCGTATAATACAAAAGAATGAAATTAATTTGTTATTACAATTTTTATGGTCTAAATAATGTTTATTTTTATTAATAGAATAATTTATAGTATTTGAAAAAAGAGAAAATTACGTTATGTTTTATGAAAATTCAATTTATAAGCACTTTTGTTAATTTTACTCATTTTCCTCTCATAGTATTTATTTAAATTATAAGGAAAAATTGGATATATTTTTTTTGGTATTATGAAAAGATACATTTTTTATTGCAATAACTAACGCATGTAGAGATATTTTTATTTTATAGTTTTAGTTTGAACTTCATTTAACAAATTATTTGAAAGTATATGTGATAAAAGACTCACGAGTTCAATGAAATGGTCGCGTTTTATTAAAATTTATTTGCAGCCTTACATTATTAAATTTTATGATTTTTAGAGGATTAACATTTGTTTGAATCGAAACCGTTACAAGACAATAAGTGTAAAAACCACTGGCGAAGAAAAAACATTAGATTTATTCATAATATTGCATGTATAAGAAATACTCTCGAAAAATACTGAAAATATACTTCACTGTATATAAATTTTTTTTATCATGGCACAAGGCAAATTATTAATTAACCACGGTTGCCGTCGACGTTGCGTTGGAGTGGCAGAATTGCTGAATCGAAAAAGTCATGTATTTTTTTCTGTATTGTGCGCGCGTGTGTGTGACAATTCGCATCGTATATTACTGTTAGAATGCCTGCACTGGCGTTGTCGATGCCGCCGTTAAAAGCCCGCTTAATTTCAAAAAGAAAAACCTTCTAATACGCACGAGTTTTCCTTGTAACGTTGGTTACGTGATTTTGTAACCGCTGAACGAAAAAAAGGCCGCTTTCGTTAAAAACCTATTTAGTATTTATGTAGAGTATATTTAACGAGAAAAGCTTTTAAAATGTAGTATTTTAGACCATTATTAAAATACATTTTATTAAATTTATGATTAATTTTCAATAAATCACCGATAAAAAAAAATTTATAATTGTTATAATTAAATATTTTTTTTTATAATCGTGCGTGTTAGTATAATGTGTACATATATATTTATAATATATATATATATAATATATATAGATATATAATGCTGTGTGTTCATAATATAGATTGAGTATATATTATTTAGGACGACTACTACGACGACGGACGAAGCTCTTGTCATTATCATAATAATGTTATGGTAAGTTAGCGGAGGATAGAGCGAGAACGATATATTTTTGTGTTGAGAGGGAGAGACAAAGAGACGGGCTAGTAGAGGCGGCGGCAACACTGTCGGTTCGGGTAGAGGGGAAACAGTCAGGCAGTAGGAAGGCCGACTATAATATAGCAGCAGCAGCAGCTCCGGTTGTTTTTTGAAAAAACGACAGTGGTGGCGGCGGCGGCGGCGTTCACTATCGCCGTAGTCGTTCGTCGCGGCGTCCGATGCACAAATCCGGGCGTCCGACCGTCGTTCGGCGGCGGCTAAAACGAGTCCTCGGTCGTCATCGCCATTCGTTATATTATAACTACGCCGAGTCGTTGTGTATAATGTGCTGCCCGATGCCGTTGTTGTGCGCGCGCCGCTTTTAGTATACAGCACACTCGCACACACACGCACATACCACAGCATTGCGCGCGCGTTAAAACTCGTATATATCTATACATTTATAAATATATATGAAATATTATTATAAACGTTAAAATAGAGGCAATCGCCGAGCGGCATTGGCGCTGGATGTCCTTCGGAGCGCACGGCCACGAGAAACGCAATAGCAAAAATAATGTAATCTTTTAATTTCGTTGAAATATATTAGCGCAGCAACAACATTGCGTTTATCAAAGGCGCGAGAAAAAATATGCTCGTGTTGGCTTAGAAAAGCTGCCTGTCGTGCAAGCCTTACGAAGGGTATATAATAACAATATGACGATGGTGGCTTCTCCCCATACGAATGCATGACTCATGATAATGAATTCAATGCGAATGCTCTGACGGGACGTTCCCACCCCACGCCAAATGTGCACGTGTGGGTCTAGGGCTATCCCTAGAGCGGTATGTCAAAAGGGTCGGGCGCCCCTGCCTCCCCTAAATCATTGTCGGTAGGTCTTCCCATGGAACAATTGTGAATTCGAACCGATTTTGCGTTGCCATTAGGGTTTGGTTAGGTCGGTGAATCATTAAATATTCTTATCGAGTTGAGTTAGGTCATTTTCGTGTTATCAGTAAATTTTTGTTATTGGCTATTTTAATATGAAAAATATTAACTGTAGTATTTCTCAATTATTTACTCCCGTTTGTGTTTGTGTATGCTTATGGTTCTCGATATTATTGCTGAGTATTATGTTAAAAAACAAATAAAATGTCTTTTTATAATAATAAAAAAAAGCTAAAATAATCCTAGAAAATTGTATTAGTTATATCTACGGGACGCACATTTTGCACTATGTACGAAAACAAGAGTTTTTCGCAAAATGTTTAACATTTATTATAACTACAATTTGTTAAGTCTCAACGAAAGTTATCTATCTTTAGTGTTCAACACTCGAGAAGTCATAGGTGACTCACTACCAAAGATCTAATAGTATGTAAAACCGAGTTACTCATATTTTTAATGTAATGGAATAAATTTTAAGTTTTTTAATTCCATCGATTTATTAACAAAAAAAAAATTTGATTAAAAAACACTAAATTTTTAAAGAACGAGTAGGACAAATGTTTTTGATAAACATAGTTCTTCTATATAAATAGAAAAATATAAATAATTTCTTTTTTAATTTTTGAAATCTTGTGTTTTTTATGATTAAACAAAAAATAATTATCTATTTATGACACCCTAATCAAATTTTTTACATAAAAACATATGATTAAATATAAAGTTCAATAATTAGAATATGAATTAATACAAAAAAATATTTGAAAATATTTTTCCTTTTGATAAAGGAAAAAAATTCCTTTGATTGAATAGCATTTGTTAGTTTTTGACGGCGTAACAAAAGTAGGCTTGGAGGGCACTACTGCTCCCCCCCCTCTCACTCAATCTGCCTCGTTGAACTTTTTGTATAATACATCTACTAAATTCCCATATTGATTATGATTAACTAAATAAATTTGGTCTGTTGTAAAATATGACTTTTACGGTAAAAATAAGTTTAATGAAATGGTAAGAGTTAGCCCCAGTAATCTAAAATTAGATCACCCTTTCCATTCCGAAACAAAAATTTTGTAACATCCTGCCGATGTGTTACACGGTATCATCATTTCATTTAATTTACTAAAAAATCGTTAATTTTATTAAAATCTATTTGTGAAACGAAATCGTTTCATGGGTAGGCCTACATTTTTTGTACAAACATGAGTTTTCAAAGAAAAGTCAATATATTGATTTGCAATCAGCAGTGGTCGCGTAGTCTAATAGAAAAATTAAAAGGGGCTATGCCCCCTCAATCCATTTGCCGTATCATTTATATTTCCAAAATAAAGTGATAAAAAATATTGCTTCTATATGGGGCAGTCGATACACTGATATATCGACCTGACTACGCTTCTTTCTGCCATTAAGAAATCCTGTTTAAGCTATTGGTAATCTAAGTATTCATTTATAGTTGCAGGTTTAAGCAAAAAGACACAATGCACAAAATTTTTAAACTCTATTTTCACTATGAAATATTTGTCACTACTCCTTGAATCTATCATAGTTTTATTACTTTGACAAAAATACTAATTAAATATATTTTATCAATCGCAACCTTGATTTGAAAACATTTAACATACATTTTGAAATTCATAAGTTATCAGTTTTTTGGTTTGTTTTCAAAAAAATATATTTTAAGAAATATCGTGGCTTTTTAAAGGGTTATTAAGACTATAATGTTTTTACCTGCCTCTAAAAAATACGTCTCTAATGTCTAATTCAAGCATTAGAGAATAAAAAATATAAAAAAGGAGTTATGAAAAAAAATTCTTTTGTATTAATTATTATTTATATTAATTATGAATTAGTTACCTTAGAACTTTTAAAAAACAGTTTTAGGATCCATAGATGAAGTAATATGAGGTTTTCATAGAAGAACAAATATATATTACTGTACAATTTACAATTTTTTAAACCACGTTAATCCATGAAAAATTAAAAATATTGTAGTTACCCGTAAAAATAAGTGCGAAACTATAATTAATATAAAAAAGTTAACGATATTTTTTTTACTACATGCGTCCTTCTACAAAAAACTCAAGTGCCTAGTAAAGTTCTGTGAAATTTTAGATTATAAAAATTAATCAAAATTAAAAAATAATACACTTCAAATGTTTATATGCTTATATTATTGACTTGTTAAAAGTATTGATTAATTTTTCGTTAATAGATCAACTCTTTCATAATTTCTATAAAAGATAAAATTTTGTAATTTATCAATATTGTTATTCAAATTGCAGTAGTAATTTCAAATACAGTATTTTTAGTATACATTAGTAATGTAACTAATGACTTTTTTTATATGATTAAATAATATAAATTTATATGATAAAATGGGTAATAACCAATTATTGGCAACTAATAATTAGATATATTTTTTATCAAAAGAACTTAATGTTTTAAAATTTAAATAATTACGCTTTTGTGGGCTAAAAATAATTCCCTACTTAAAATATTGCTCAGTTAGAGAATCTCCCAAACTTTTCTTTTTCAAAACCCTCAAAGTTTTATGTTCTAAGTATATAGTGTTCAAAATTAATAAATAAATAACAAAAAAACAAACTATTTAGTTATATTTTAAGTTGAAACTAAAAATTAATTGATATATTTTTATTAACTTACGTGTGTTTTTTGCAAGGGAATATTACAAAATATAAAATATGAACACCTTTTTTTACACGTAATCTAATAACAGGTCTCTTCTTATTTTAATAAAAATAGTTTATAATTTTTATAATTATTATATTCTAGTTTATGGTAATAGATGTTTGCATTCCAGAAACATTTGGAAATACCTTTTAAATGGACATTTAATAAATATTCTTACTATTTTTAATAAAAAAGGTGTATTTGTGAAGTAAAAAATTTTTTAAAAATTTATTTTTCAAATTTAAAATGTTAATGTATAAAGTTGTATAATTATTATGTAATTTTAAAAAAGATACGTCAAAAAAAATAAAAAGGTTAAACAAAATTACATATAGCACCTGTTCAAGAGGGGTGTCATAACCCCTGATACTTCCCTTTAAATACGATACATAAAAAAACAATATTTTATGTAAGATAACGCAGGAAAAAGGCATTGTATTTTTTTTTTAATTTTAAAATTAATAAATTATAACGTTTATATTTTTAATAAGTAATATTTAGCTTTATTTTTTTATAAAAAGTTAATAATACTTTATTATAATATTGTTTTTTGTAATTTTTTATTTTAATTAACATTTAAAATAATAGACGATAAGTCAAAATGTAATGTTTACTATACAATGTTTTTTTTTTTTTGGTGAGTAGTATTAATTTCTATTTAATCAATTTAAAAATACCCCATCGAGGATAACATAACTAATTTTTTTGTACAATTTTCACATATAAAGACATTTTAAATAATTAGATATTTTTTAAAACAATTAGTAGCTTTTTATTTATTAAAAATTATAAAATCTTATGGTAAATTTTTTTAACTTGTATTAAATCATTGAATTTTTGTTTAACTTCCAAATAGTTATTGAGGCTTTAATATATATTTTTTATTGAATAAATATGAGATCTTTTAAGAGGATCGTGCACATTTTTATATTGTAAAAGAATAAATACGTAAATATTTTTATATTGACTACACTGGTTTTAAAAATATAACAATAGATTTATTTTACAAAGGCACCACATAATCTAGCATTCATTGTAATTGATTTCCAAATAATTTTACAATATTCTATTTTAGTGTTTAAATAAGAGTATTTAATTACTTTCATATTTAATGTTCTATAAATTTGAAAAGATTACTGCCTCTTTGATGGTGAATGATGGATTTTTGTTTTATTAAAAATGATTTTGATTTGTACACAATTAAATTTTATAGCTAGCTGTTTGAATTGATTATTCATTTTCAGTTATTTTAAATTTAATTTTTATATGGTGTCAAAATAGATGAATGCTTTAAAATTTGTAATTAAATTTTTTATAATGATAATAATTTTAAAATTATGTGCAAGGTAAAAATTTTTTAATGTAGTTATTTTTAATTGTGTAAAATTTACCATATCTATTTATATTTGAAAAATGTAAAATACAAACAGAATTGTTTACAATGTTCTCCTTAGCGGTCTTGAATCAAGAGCAGTTTTGAACTGCTTGAAAAAAGGTCTTCGAGACTCTTGAAGCCCTTTTTTTAGATACTTTTATCACTGATTCTTAGAAAGAATTTTGTAACTATTTAAATCTAGTTTTCCCAAAGATTCTATTGCTTTACTTAAAGCTGTATATATATATATATATACTTGTAAATGAAAAACCTTATGATTACAAAGGCTCTAAAATACATATATACATGTATAATTGTGAAAAATTCTTATCTGTTCTAGAATTAAAATGAAAAGAGGTAAATATTGCTAGATAAGAAGTTTAAAGTCAATAGGTTACAAGTATTTATCTCTTATGAAGAAATAGATTATAATGAGTATTGGCCATGTTTCGGTTTGTTTAATACACGAAACGTGTTGAATTATATTGTAGGAAATGTTTCAAATGCAAACATTCTTGCTATTTGTTTATCAAAACCTACAAAATAAAATCATTCTAAGAGTGTGTTTTATTTAAGCAGTTACCCTATCAATTAAAAACATGTATTCTTAATCAATTGGTTTATTGCCCCCAAATACGAGTCAAGGATTTAAGTCCCTAGCAAAATGTTTGTTTAAATTATAATTTGTTGAACTCTTTAATCCTCGATCGTGTAGTTCTACTAATTTCTCTAGATGATATTCATTGAATTTGTTTTATGTATAAAGCGAGTATTTTTAGATGAGATAAGTAAACTCGATACACAAAAGGTTATTTTGACATGAGTGGTTGCATTGAAAAAAATTATTTTTATTTTCGCAATTTGAATACATAAGCTTGATGATAATACACATATATAAAGTTTATAGAAATTAATATTCAAAGTTTAAAACAGTCATTTATAGACGCTCGTTTTGACTTCAGAGTATTTGTATATTCACATTGTGAACAGTTTTCGTGTCAGTTCAAAATTTCATTTCTCGGTAAATACTTTTATTTCGTACTTATCATCTTTCCATTTCACAATGTCAAAATTCATTTTTAAATTATTCTCAAAAACTTATGCTTGAAACTTAAAAGTAGCAGCTTCTGCAACAATTGAAATGATTTTTTCTCTTGTATTTATAACAAAAATTGTTCTTGAAATTATAACGTCAAACTTTCAATAGTTTAAATGTGTCTGATACATAACACGTTATTATACGTACAAATATAACATTTTAATATGTTCTTTTTTATTTCAGAATTCAATTGAATGAGTTTTCGAATTCTAAGAGGTATTCGAGGGGTATCCATTCCTTTCTTCATTCCTTCAATGCCAATAGACTAACTACGATACGAAAAGGCAGGTTAGTGTTTATTTTTGCAGAGCTCTAGCAATGTTCATAAAACTGGGTTTCATAAAGTGCAATTTAGTAGCGTTATTAAACACAAAACTAATAAAAACTCGTATTTGATAGCTCATCGAGTAACTATACAAATATTATATTATATTCTTGAAGTATACGCGCTCTGTTGCATTTTTCGTTTTATAATTTACACAAGAAACTGCCGTGATAAGTGTCTGATAAGCTTGCGCTGATTAATGCAATTCACAACATAAATTAACCGTATTACATGCTCGTGTGCTTTGTGCATTGAGTTTTCAACCGACGTTTGAAACGTTAACCACTGTTGTTATCCAACAGCAGTATATTACGCCATAGCGCGTGGAACAACACTCTGCGAGTTAAATGTTCACAATCGGTTTGTTAATATTTGTAAATTGTCATTAATGAATGGGACCGTTAAATATTCTCTGGAAGCGATAGTTTAATAATATATCGTAACGTGCTTTGATATTGTACATAATCGATAATGTTCGTCCAAGTTCCCCCCTTATCACGATAGTGTTATTTACGTTTTGAAAAACTTTTCCAATTTTATCAATCGCGAATCACGTGTGTTGTGGTGTTACTGATTAGCTTCCACATAGTCAACAACGCTATTTTCACACCGTCTTATGAAAATGACAATGAATACAGTAATAGCACGTTATTTTGAACTTACCAAGCGCGCTCCTCTAACTCTATTAATAACCCATTGAATTCAACAACTAGGTAAAGGGCCAAAACCAAGAAATTACAAAACGAATGCTGGCACTTAACTATTTTATTCGAATATTTATAATTATAAATATGTAAACGTGTTTGCTTATCCACCCACATCGAGAAACATATATAGAATTATTGTATACATTTTTGAAAAAAAAGTCTAGTTTTTAACTTTTTATTCTCATATTTATAATTTTTTTTTATTAATATGAATATTAATGTTTATTAATGCAAATTTTATACTTTATTATAAATTTCCATTAATTATTATTTATTTATGGAAAATTATATTTTCAAATTCATTGTGATATTGACGTCAACGATAATTATTCGATTAAAAATCACTGGAAATTGTTTTTAATGTTATTATATTTGATTATTTTATGTTAATAATTTAGAATTTTCCAGTAGTAGAAAAATTGTACGTCTTCAAAAGTTATTTTTTGGAGTGGACTTGGTTTTTAAAAATGACAATGAGTGCGCCGCTCTACTTTTCAGAATCTAATTCGAGTTAATTTGATGGCGCATAATTTTAAGACCGTTATTCAGTAAAACTATAAAAATGAGTTATCATTGTTTTATACGATATACTCATTTAAACAACTATTACAGTCGCTCCAGAGATGATCCTGGTTTTTATCTGAACTTTTCTATATTTATTATTTATTTTTTATTTTTAAAAGCTTTTATTGAAAACTAGAATTATGTGGAATTAAATGGGTTGGGACGGTGGGTTTTTCAAGACCAGTGTTCAGTACGTCGGGATAAACCGTAAGCTGAATATGTGTGTGTGTGTGTGTGTGCATGTGTTTGTGCTACATCGAGAGACGGCAAATGCCATCGCGGCCAATCATCCGGCTTGTGTGGCGATATTGGCTACACTGTTTTAATAATAATAATATTTTACTAGTACACGACGGCGGCGGCGGCAACCACTACGATGAGCTTCGTACATCGCGGTCTGGTACGCCGTTGGAAACCGTGCGACGGCGGTAGTTTCGAATGGCGGCGGGACGTCGACGTCGTTGTTTTTCTCTATCTCCCTCGTATGCCACCGCCACTTCATTCTTCACCGACCTTCCCATCTACCCTCTCACTGTTACCCGTTTGCTCACTCGCACCCACCGCCGTTGCTTCATCGTAATCATCATCTAACCTACTACCAGCGCTATCGCACGCACTCACACACACCACAACCGTCGTGTAGTTTCTCAATGTGTGCGAGTGTAAATGGTTGTACGGCGGGCGGTGGCGGTGTGCAGCTGCCAGTTCCGACGTACGAGTGAGGACGCGCGGGGGGACTATAGGACCACGGGGCCCAGGCCGCATTCACATCGGACGGTAGATGAAACGGTGTGGGGGAGGGGAGAACATTACGAGCAATAGGACTCCGACACAGTCGCTTCTACCGCTACGCGTGTCGTTTTTATACTCGTAGGACTAAAAAGGACAGCGAAAAGGAGTTACCACCACCATTATTAACGTGTTACATCGGACGATCCCTGAGTGTCGTCTTGTGACGGTACGCTCCGCCAATGTCTTTTTTAGACTGTAACCCTTCAACGGTCAACGTTTTTATCCGTCCCGCACAAAAGAATTTGCCTCGGGCCGCCTACTCGAATAATACTTTCTCGACGGCCTTTGTGGTCATCACTCCTAGTGACGGTAGTCTTTATATCGCTACCTCAATGCGGCCATTCGGAAGTCTCGGTACACTCGTCGGTGTATTACGATGGCGATGGTGATGCTGTTTTGTGAAAGCCACTGCCGTCGCCGGTCAGTGACCGGACGCCCTCGCTCTCTCCGGCACCTAAATAACTGCAATGTTTAAAAAAATATCTAGTTGGCAACAGTTGCATGGCCACTACAGCATTACCATATCATTATAGTTTACTTAACTCCTCGTAGTTGTAAAAAATCTATCCTAAATCTGCGCAGTGTACGCAACGGTGTTTTCTGCCGTCGCCAGAGAGTATTTAAAGAGTTCATCGCTGTATTTCTTTGTCTTGTGTGCACACAACATAACGACGAATGCATAATTATATATCATTGATATCGAGTACCTACTTCGGCCGATGTGACCTTCGTCCGTTTACCCTAATTGTCGATACACTGCCACACACGTCTACCTTTGTTCCGATCGTTTAATTTCCTAGTGGGTACAGTGTACATTTTAGTTTTTTAATATTTGATTTGTATTCCGTGAAATTTATTTCCTCACGAATAATAATAATAATAATAATAATAGTGGAGTTGCCGCCGGTCGTCGAAGAAGAAAATGTACACTAATGAAAGGAGGGGATTCAGCAACCCTCCCGGTTACGACCGTCCCCTATAGATATATGAACAAGGGTAAGGGTAGTGGCAGCAAAGGCAGGCGGCAACACAGAAATCCATTGTGATGTTTTTTTTTTATATAAATATAAAGAGTATTAAAAAAATTGTGAACGTCAAGATTTTCATTTAAAATAGCTATATCCTTTGCAGTAATTATAATTACTCTTTATGATTTAAATAAAACGATTAAAATGTTTCGTTTCAATAAAATATTTAATTTTTTTTTATAAATACATAAATGATATTGTGCACTAAGTCACGAGACTGTATAAGACGAATTTTAAATATATTTTATTATTCGTATTAATGTTATTTCATAGAAGTCATCAATAATTATTCTTTGTTGTGATATTTTTATAATTATTAAAATTGTAATGCATTGAAATAACATTTTCGTAATGTTGTCGGTATTGCATTTTCTTTTGCGTTATATTGTACAGAATATTTATATTACTCAGAATTTCAGAGGTAATAGTTGTTCACAAAATACATTAGAATATTGTTAGACCGTGACGTTAGCACTATGTCCCGTTGCTCGAATGCCATTGGCGGGAACAAGGTTCATTTCCACGTGCAATTACTTGGCCGGTAGATGAGTCGACATCTAGTGGATACATTTGTGTTGTTATGTAAAAAAACTATGTACAGGACGTCTTCATAGTGTTGTGTTAATTTAGTTGCCTATTTAAATCCCTTATATTTCAATTTAATAACAAGTTAACATTTTATCGACAAATCAGTATTACGGTGCTATTTTTACTTACACGGGTCGTTTCAAAATTTGGAGACACATTATTTCAGAGATTATTGAGTATTTTTAATACTACGAGAAAAAAATTTAGGTTTAAAATACTATAATAATGTGTAGTTAAATAATTAATATTTTCTCTTCAGGGTCGAAAAAACCTTAAATTTAATTTAAAGTTTATCATATGACTATAGAAAAAAAACTACAGACAATTTTATCCGATGGACCGTTCATCGATTACAGCATTTTAAATACATTGGGTATATAGTGCGCGTGGGGTGTACACAAATCAGCCGTACTGTAAATTTGAGGTTTCTTCTTTCTGAAGGAATGAAATAAAATACTCAACTACATATTATTGTAGTTTTTTCGAACGTAATCTTTATTTATTCGTTAAATTATTATTTTAATAATAAAATTTATTCCATTTTTATGAAAAATTATCATTTATATAATTATCCACACTGGGTAACAACGGGAAAAATGACTTTGAAAATTTGAATTACATTAAATAGCTTTATATTTATTGTATATTTTGATATAAAAATAAATTATCTAGAATTATTTTATTGTGATATTTTATTCCATTTTGAGATATATTTACTATTAGAGTATTAATTTCCATGAGCTAGTATGTCGGCTTTACATCATTGCATCGGAATACGAGTAACTGTATTTGAATTTTTTACGAGGTAAAATAATATGTGTTTACTTGCGAGAGGTTGAGTTTGGTTTCCTTAGTTAGACGTTTCATGGTTCCATTCGTCTACTGTGTACTTATTTTTTTGAACTCATACGTCAGCGTAGTTTGCAAGAGGACTGTTGAGACTTTAAATAAAAAAGATATTGAGAATATAATGCGTGAAGTGCCAATACGTTTGATATTCGGTTACAATGTCCGGCAATTGTTATTTAAGTCTTTAATGAAACTTGTTTTTGGGATTCATTGTTTCAATATTACCATTATTAGAAGTAGTTAAATCTATGTTTGTATATTACTGAATAATGAATTTTCACATGAAATTTTATATTAATTAAATAAAATTAAAGAGTGAAATTTAACATCGCATTAAAAAAGCGAAAATCACGGGTAAGAACTTTTTTTAAATAAATTTATATTCATTACAGAAGTATACTTAAATTTGATAATTTTCTTGATGGTGTATCCGTTTTCATATACCACAAGTGGCGATTTATTTAGATATATGATGACATCATGTTTTTTCTTGCAAAAATTTATTTGAAAATATGATATTAAAATCGCACTGATGTTTACTTAGTGAAAGAGAGATACACACTAATATTTAGAATTAAAAAGTACAAATATTTTTCAGGTATTTAATTATCTGAGTCTGTATCACTGTAATTTTTTTATTATATTGATTAGAATTAGTTAATTTAAAATAACACCATATTATTACTTGATATGCATAAACATAGAAAAAAAAGTATTTTTAGTTTATCTTCATTATTGAAACAATTTACAAAAAACTTATGTATATATAGTTGGGAATCGCATATATTTTTGAGTTTTGAAATTTATTTCGAATGTCTATAATGGAATCTTTTGAAAAATATCCTTTTTGAGCCCTTTTATTTAACAGTTACTTTAAGTAAATATAATAATTAATATTGTATTTTGAATATAAACCAATAAAACGGCTGTCTTATTATTTTCTACATTGTAGTATTTTTATGGTACATCGTGTAGAGTAAATATAATATTATATTTATATAATAAAGAACTTATCTTAATTTTATAGATATTTAACAATAATGTATTAACAAAAATTCACCATTAGTGTTTTATCGGACTACTGGAAATTTCTATAAAAAATCAAATTTTAATTAAATAGTTGTATAAACTTGTTTTTATGATAGTTTAAAAATAGTTCAGTATTAATACTATTTAAATAATGACCAACGACAATTGCCGTCATAATTGATGTCTTGATTTATTTGTATCTCAAAAAATCTTTGAAGTATCTGTATTAAAATACTACTTACTAATATAATTTACTAAATTTGATAAAACATGAAAACAATATTTACTATGATAATTATGTTTTTATGGATTTATGGATTTATATCCAATTTTTAGACCAGTATTTTGGGAGTTATTACCATTTTAATGTAGCTGATAAATTCTTAAATAAAAATTACTAACATCTCAAAATTTTTTCTATGGAGAAATTGAGACATTTTTGAGAAATTGGCAATTTTTCATATACTGTTATAAAAAAAAAAACACTATTGATTATACAAACTTTTTGGTATTATTAACATTTTAAAATTTATTTTTGAGTTATAAATACTTGATACATTTATTATTTTATACTATATTTATTTGAAATTAACTATTTATCATATGATTTAACAATAAAATTCTACATAAAATCTACGTTATCACAACGTCATAAAATAAGAAAAAAAATTGTTTTGATAAAAATATAATAGCCGTATTAATTGTAAATGTAAACTATACGCAAATTATTTTCTTAGTGGAATCAATAAGCAGTAAATGTTCAAAAGTTTCTGGTTTACTGATATGTTCCATCTGAAAATTTTTTTTTTTAAAATACGAATTGTAATTAAATTTGTTATTATAAGTCAATAAAATAGGTATCAGCAATTAACAATAATAATAATAAGTAATTTTTTTTTTTTGAAAATTATATTAATAATGCCGGTGATTAATTTGAATGGATTGGAATATTGTAGTTGAATAAAATAAGTATGATTAGCAAATGTTCGTTGTAACAGTTATTTTTTCTACATAATTTTTAAATAATACATTTTTTAACCTTTTTTTTATTATCCTGAATAGTTCGATAACAACATTCTAAGATGATTTGCTTTGGATTTTTGTCACTTTTCGATTCATACAGTAAAATTTTCCACAATTTGACTAGCATCTCTATGTCTTGGCAAGACATATTTTTAGTTGCACTCGCTATCTCATCATATATACTTTCTAATTCTTTCCTATATTTGTCTTCAACACTTAGTATATATTTTTCAGCATATAGTCTGATTAATTTTAGCTTCTGTTCTTTTTCTGGAGTAAGAATAAACACAAAATCGTTTATGTAGTCATTAATCTTGATGTTGTATATTTGGTTGTCGGCGGTCATCAGTACCATTAAACTAATATTCATAGAAAATATATAATGCATACTAATATTCTCGATTAATAATTTTTTACTTACTAAATACATTTTTGTGGTACATTTGTGGTGTATATATTATTATAACTTTTTAAACTTATATAAGCAAATATAAAGCAAGAACAAAAATAACTATTAAATTTAAACTGGCTTAAATTACCAATTTTGTCGTTCTAAGAAGTGACGTACGGTTGCCGGAGTCGGTTAAACTTGTGTCATACGCGCTTGGAGTAATAGGTTCTCAAACCGCGTATGTCAAGGAATTTTTTGCATTTTTTTCTTAATTTCTTTTTAAGTTAGAATTAATTTTCAACTCCTTTGATTTTTATCTCATTTAAATTCAATAATTTCAATAAAGATCAAGGATCCCATCACTGTAGTCGTCTCTCGCGAGAAGAAATTACTTAATCATATTAATATTATTTTACTATACTTTAGGTTTTAGCTTCGATGCAAAGCTGAAAAAGTATTTTTTTGTGACTATCTTTTATTTTCTCTGCTCTAACTTGACCTACTTTTTTCAACGAAACGTCAAATGACAACAATTCGTATCTAGTTGAAGATATTATCCTCAAAAAATGAAATAAAATTCTAATTTATCAATTAAACAGTTACTTATCCCATGTTCTTCATACAGACAATTAAAATTATTCATTTCTCATATTTTATGTATTTATTGACGAATCAAGTTCGATATAATAGGTTTCAATTACAAAATTATATCTTATATTATCTAAATTATATTTTACTTTGTAATTTAATAATAATTTTTTGTGTGTGCTACTACTAGACTATAATATTCCAAATTTTTTGGTGACATGTCGCTACAAAAATCATTTCTAAAAAAAATGATAGTTAGTTTCTCCTGAATTAACAATGGATTTTTAGATCTTTTTACAACTTTTTTTTTATTAGTTATTTTAGTTAAAGTAAATCATTAAAATTAATTCAGTTCAAACTTCAATTGTAGAATCTTTTTAAACACTAAAAGTTACTAAGGGAAATGATTACTATTATTTCTATTTAAGTAATCTATTACGATAAAAATGAAAAAAAATATTGAGCTTTTCTGATAAATTTACTATAAATAGTAATTATAAAACTTCCTGACTGCATATTAATCTTAACGATACAATTTTTTTAATTCTCATAAAATTTTCTATTTAATGATGTCAATTTTAAACTTGCAAATCAGCTAAAAGTTATGGTAATAAATTAATTTTTTTCTATAAACTTTCACAAAAATCAACTTTAAAGGATTAAAAAAATAGGTTAAATAAGTCATTTTTCTTATATTTAACATATTAATAATCAAAATCAATATAACTTTAAAACAATTTTCTTGTGTTCTTAATTATTTTTTTTTATATGTAAATACGTATTTTTTAATAATATTAAAATTTAGAAGTGATAGAAAAAGTCTAATTGTACATTTGAAAAATCGCGAAATGTTGATTTAGAAAAGTATATTTTTGTTTCTGATGAAAGTTCCTTGTAGTCCAGTGTACAAAACTTATAATTTTGTTATAATTAACAAACATTTTTTATTGAAAAGTATTGCATCAATATAAGTATATATTATACTTATAAATCAAATAACTAATCGGGATAAAATTAAGGGAATAAGAGTATTGTCCCTTTTGAAATAATCGACCAATTTCTTAAAATTAAACACTATCTACAGATTTACATCGAAGCGTTTNAGTATTGCATCAATATAAGTATATATTATACTTATAAATCAAATAACTAATCGGGATAAAATTAAGGGAATAAGAGTATTGTCGCTTTTGAAATAATCGACCAATTTCTTAAAATTAAACACTATCTACAGATTTTCATCGAAGCGTTGCTTATGATAGTGATTTTAATCACTGTCAGATGTCATCTATACTTGTACCAACTATGCCTCGTCCACACTGTGCCGCGACCCCACTGTGCTACCGTTTTTTATTGAAAAATTTAGATAAACACTGTAACAGTATTTTACTATAAGTCAACTTAGTAGTTTTTACTCGGGTTATAATTAAATTTTGGTAATTATTACTTATGATTTTTCTCACGTGAACGATTAAAATTAAAATGTGAGTTTGAGCAACTATTTCAATGTAGGGAATACCATGTTTTAATAAACGTTTGAGGCAGCGATTTATATACTATTTTTCACCTGTTAAAATTATTATTTTTGAGTTTCTCTGAGAATATACAAGTAGCTTCTCTAATATGCTCATTTGTCCGGTTGTTGAAAAATTCGTCCGCTTTCAATACCAAAAGCACGAAAGGATTACTTCTTCGCTTATAGATCCAATCGAATAATTTTTGAATTTCCGGCACTAACTTTTGATTGCGTGACATCAAATCAATGCCATTGATGACAGCATAGTGAACACCGCTGTTTATTGCGATTTTCTAAGAACAATTATTCTCTCACTAAGATCGGTAGATGATCAACTTATTTCGATTATATGCGTTTGGTATAAATCAATCGACTTCATATACGGTACTTTCCTGTTAAAAAGAGACTACTAAAAATAAAAGTACCAATATGTTATCTATTCTTTCAATCGAATTTACCATATAATATTTATTATTAACAAGTTCAATTACTTTTTAAGTAAAACACTATAGATGATAAATGCATACTTTCATGAGTTATTTGGGAATTTTCAAATGTAAAATCTTTACTAAAATTAATTTTTTATTTCATTTTAAATCTTTAAAAAAAAATCTTTCATAGAATCGTTAACGAATATTACCAAAAACAATCTGTTTAATAACGAAAATAAATAATAATATATTAATATTTTCGCTAATGATTTTGTTTGTTGTTTTTATTTAAGCTGTAAATTGTTATTTGTTTTAAGATATTTAAATTTCAGTATTTATCACCGAGTCGTTTTTACATATAGCCACATGTTATTATCGGTTGAAATAAAGCATATGTTTACTATAGAAAGTTACTTTAATTAGTAACTTTTAAGTTACTTTAATAGAAATGTAACATTTTCGTAGCTCCGAGTAATCGGTAGTCGCAATAACAGGAAAGTACTATGCTCCGTACGGTTTTTATTTATGAACCATTATTATTATAATTACAATTACTGTTCTCATTGACTAATTTATAAATATTTTTATTCGATTTTAATTCAAGCTATGATGTGATTTTTTAATAATGCATTAAAACGATATAAAAATGGTACGGTATACTTTGTACGACTTAAGGAATTTTGTGAGGGGCAATGGAAATGTTAAATTCGGCCGAGACTTGTGGGGCCAATAGTGTAATTATAAGCTTTGGGAAATTATAATTCTTACTCTGACGAATGATGATTTTCCATTTCCCGGTGGTCCGTAAACCATAACGTTTCTACGGTTCGTTCTTAGTTTTTGTGTTGCCGCGTATGTAGTTGTTCCAACCAGTTCCCTGAACATTTGTAATTTGTATCGTAAACAGTTTTACTAAAATATATAACTAGTACAGTATGTGTTTTACTGGTATTTGTTGTTGATTTGTTCGGTAAACACGAGTTTGTTCAATGATTCCTTTAACGCTCTACGTTCTCCTATTTTTCGAATAGCTATCACAGGGTTCTTTAAGTAATCATAAACGGATGTGACCGACGTTTCCCTGATTACCGAAGGAATCTCTACTCATAAACAAAAACACGTATAATGATAGACAAGTTCAAGCGTATCAATGTTTGCTTTTTATCATTTAAAATATTTAGAATAATGTTTTTACATGTGCCCTTGCATGTTGTAGTAATTTAAAACGAAGACTTACCCCATTTGTTTATAAATCTCATCATAGCTCCCGTTCCTTTAGATAAGGAGTAACCTATCATGGTCATCGATAGGGCTGCTGTTCCAAAAAACAATACTTTGTCTTCCGTTTTAATAGGACTCATGTTAAATTTGCGATTTTCCAAGTCCATGTGAAACCTAAGGTTAATTGAACATCTCATGTAAAATTTAACATAAAAAATAAATGTCAAATAAATACTAGAGAGTTTTGTAAAATTTCTTAACAAAAATTCTATCTAAATATTTTTTATTAAAAATGACAAATTCGATATTTTTCACATATTTTATATGGTATTTTTACTTTAAAATATCATAACTAATTTAACAAATAATGAAATGTTAACTTATTAAACTTTTGCAAATGTTCCGCAAAACTTGACACCTTACAATTTATTTTTAATAAAAGCTTAATTAATAAATTTTAACTTCTATTTTTTGTTATTAACGTCACAAATTTGAAGGTAGACCGTCTATAGTTTTGTTATGTCTATTTATCTGTTTTTTTTATCACGCAAGAGAATGCGTTAGTGAACCTTTTTTTCAATACAGCAGTGACAACAGTTCATTATTTTTGGTGTTGAACTACAAACAAAATCAAATTATTTATTTGGATAAATTCCTTTAAAAAAATAATGCCCTTTATCGGTTTGAAATAGCCGTTAGATCGATATTGGCTCTTTTTTGTTCTTTTGTCATTGACCGTGTTAGAGTGCCCATGTATCTTTGTTTTTTTCACTGTTCTCAATGATGCAGTAGAGTTGCTAACGACAAACGGCCAGGTCTTTTCGGTCAAGTATCCAGATAGGTTTCTTCGGAGACAGGTTATCATTTTTTTATAATTATATTTACGTAATGAGCTGTGTTTTTATTAATTATTTTATAATAAATTTATTTTATTTTATTTATGTGTGGAGAGAACACGTTTCCTCTTTCAACTAGCCAACGCTAAGGACTGAGTATCCAGACCGCTCTTGGTGTTTTTTTTATTAATTTCCGTTTAACTCTAACGGATGTGTTCTAATACCGTCCGTGATGATGTTTGTTATATTACTTGATTTTGTTTAAACATTTTATTTTATGTATGTTGTCGCCCTTTCTTTGTAGACATAGCTTTTGATACATTCGTGTATTTTTCCATGACGAACTTAATTTTCTTTTTCAACAATTAAATTAGACTTCCTCATTAATCTTAACTGTAATATTTATTTTCATTGCGCGACTAGCTTAAGTACTCACATGTATTTTATTTTTGTTCCTTAATCTAAACACGGTATGTTTTATATTTTAACCACATAGGAATTTAATTATCACGGTTGTGGTTAACAAACCACAAGTAGTTAGAATCATTTATATTTAACAACATATTAACTGAAATTAAATTAATAATTAACTTAAAATTAAATTCTACCTATAGTATGGTAATTATATCTGATAAGTGTGATACCTCGTTTAGGTGGTGTTGACTGCTATTATAACTAATCATTATGTTAGGGGAAAACCACATTCGTACTGCAGGATGACAATAAAACCATTTGCAGTTTGTACTGTATTATAAAAAAAAAAAATGCATGGTGGGTGTTGTTATACAATTTAATATCTATTTCATTGGTGTAATAAAATATGGAAATTAGTAGGAATTATTTTTGTTCACATTTGAATTGAACCACTCGAGAACCCGAAAATCACTTTCAGGATATAAAATAAAATCAAATCATACCATATTTTGTCTGGCGATGAAGGTGATATTGAAGAAGTTGAGGCTGTTGTGGGCGACAAAGTTTCTAATGGTGTTGATTCTAGTAATGATGACGATAACTTTTCGTTTGTCGCTTCGAATATTGGATAATTAGTATTGCAATTATTTTTTATTCTCTTATCATTCATTTTTAATCGCTTTGTCGGGCCCATTTTTCAAATAAATTTGTGTTATTGTATAACACAAACAAATAAATTACTATATCGATCGTTTTGAAGAATTTAAAAATTATTTCAAATTACTATTTATTCGATAGAAAAATATACTTCTCTTTTGTCTAACATATAATTTCGATTCTATTCGGCAAATCACTTGATGAAAATCTTGTTTGAAAAAAAAAACAAATAATAGGTTTGTATACTTATTGCCATGTAATATAAAAATTGTCCAATGATTAAAACTACATTTCTCAACTAAAATAACGTTTCCATGTTATAAAAATATAATTATTTGTAAAATTTCAACCAGAAAAGTCTTATTCGATTGAAAGATTACTTTTAAGTATTGGCTTACAGATAAAAAAAATTTGTCGATGATTTGTTAAAAAACAATTATTTATCAAAATGTTTCGATTAAGTGGTGTATTTACGGTTTAGAGGGGCACGGATTATCTTTCCCCTAATTTCATTTCCAAGCCAATTGTGGCCTGCCTATCATTTCACAAAACCGCTTGTCTCGCACGCGATTTATCTCTCCTTATATAATCAACTAATTTTATAAATATAAAAAAAAAAAAAAGAGTTCATGTATAAAACTAAAAAAAAAATTTACAAAATGTGTTATAATATACGACATTTGATATGATTACTGTTAACTCAGTGATTTAAAAAAATGAGCAATTTATCAAATATTGAGGAAAAAAATGTTTTTCTTATCAAATAAAATTAGGATTTTTACGTTGTTTAATAGATTAACATTATAATGACACAATATGGCTCAACCTAGTATGAGTTTATTTTTCTCTTACTAGTGATAAATAATAAAATGGCATGCATTTCAAAGTCTAAGAAGGCAATAATTATTAATAAAAAAAAATGTCTATAAAATGATTATTAGATTAAAAGTAATTAGAGTTGTGAGATAGAGCTTGTTCACTTTGTATATTAACATATAAAATGTCATATTAAGTTATATTATTTGGTAGTGTTTTAAATTTAAAGAGAATAATATTATTTAAAAAAAAAAAAAAGAAAATTTATAAATTAAAAAAATACATTTAATGTGATTTAAAAATATAAGAACCTAGTATAGAAATAATGTAGTAAATTTTATGTTGGAACTATTGAAAGGACCACATAATTATATTTCTCGGATGGCGAATTGTCACTGTCTTAAGAAATTTATAATATATATTATTTATGTAAAATGTTTATATCAAGTATTATTTTAAATTGGATTACAAAAAATTAGGAAAAATTATAATTAGCTGTATGATGTATAAGATGTAAACAGATAGTAAGTATATCGAACTTAAAAATAATTACAATTTATTGGATACATTTTTTGTTAAAAGTAGTATATTAGACTATTTTAAAAAGTAAAGTTATAAATATAAATAAATTAAATATCTTGCAATGTAAAATCAAATATTGGAAAAATAGGATGATAGAGGTAAAATTGTAGCCACAAATATAAAAAAAAACCAGCACAATAGGGTTGCGGCACAGTGAGGACGTGGCATAGTTAGGTCCAGTATATATTTAATCTGACAGTGATTATAATCACTATCTTAAAAAACGCATTTTTAAGTTTTGAACCACCTCTGTATAAATAGAAATGGTCCGATTTAAAAAAGAAAAATGTCGGATGAAAGGTGTGTATATAAATTATTTAAAAAAAATATGTATTGATCCATACATTTTTCAAAAATTTATAAAAATATAAAGCATAAAATCGTGAATTTTAATACAAAATTAGCATATTTTTGAATACGATGTAACTATTAATTAATTACATAGTGTAACAAAGTTTTTTTTCAATAATATGAAATAAATGAAAAATATAAGAAACACGTGTTTCAATAATACTAAAATTAAAAAAAATTATTACTATACGACATAAATGTTTATTTTATTATTTATAGATGTAGAACTGAATAAAAATGGGTATTTTCAGCTTCCATGAATTATATTTTAATCACTTTTTATTAAAATTATTTTCCAAATGTTTTTATCAAAACTATTCATTTTATTATTTTTCGTATTTTTATGTACAAAAGTAGAATCTAATTCAACAAAAAAGGCAAATCAGTTAGATATGATGTTGACATATTCAGGATGGAAAGTTTTGAATGACGTGTATTTTGTAAAATATCGCAACAATAAATATTATCTTCGCAATTTGATTGAAAAATCTACAATTTACTATAGACGGTATCAAATAGTACGAGGCTTGTCTGTACACCTAGGATGTACATACACAAAAGTTTTAAAAAGTCTATCTATAGTAATTGACAATGTCAAAAATATGTGTGAAAAACAATTAGATGAAAACGACATGATAAATGGATGCATTTGCACCGAAGAACTCGTATATATAATATCAATGTTATTTGTTCCAATGGTAACATTGATGAAAGGTGCCATGGACGCTCTAGATTTATTACATGACAAACCTTTGGTTACTTGTGATAGAATTTACTACACAGTAGGTATTTTATTAGGGAGAATAGAAGATATTCTTGACAAATTTCTAGAACGGTCTTTATCGCATAAAGAATTATCTTCATATCCTTGGACATTAAATATGGTAGATTTTTTATTGAAAAAAAAAATCAGTAATGTAATCAATAAAGATAATGTATATTGTGATTTTGTACCTTATGATACGAATTATTTATGGAATAAATGGCTTCAAGAATATAATAACATTATTAACCAAGGCACAAAATTAGTATTTATCAAGTTCGTAACCAGAAAAGTTAAGGATTTTATCAGAAGTGTAATTATAGAAAAGTATTTTCAATTGGGATTCAAATTTGATCCAATTACTGAAGAAACATTTATACCAAAGGAGTCAATTGAACTAGGTATTTGAAATTAAAATATATTAATTAAAATGTATAAATTCGTTGTCTTATAATATTTTTTTATGAATCTAGAATTGGAATTTAAAGTATCTGAAAAAGGACTTCCTATGATTTTACAAATAGAAAATCATTAAATGTTGTAATAAAATTAATTTTGTCTTACATTTATATTTTATAATTAATCACTATTTACATAATGATTTGATGATTCTTTGAAGTATATAAACATGATTCTATTTTTAATCGTTAAAAAATAACTAGGTATTTGAAATTGAAAAATATTTTATTTAAATATGAATTAATTGTTTTATAATATATTTTTATGAATCTAGAAATGAAATTTAAAGTAACAGCTGATGAGTATATAATGCCAATACACATAAAAAATCATTAAATTTTGAAATGAAATGAATTTTTTTTTTAAATTTATTCTTCATAGTTAAACACAATTTACATAATGGTTTTGAAAATAATCTCATATTAATCGCTAAAAAAAAAATTATTTAATTTTGTAGTTAAAACACGTTATCATACAAAACCTAATTCGAAAATAAATACTTTAAAAATATTAGAAATTAATGATTTTAATTGTCTGTAAGAAAAAGCTTGTTGGCTTTTTATTTGACAAAGGGGATTTTTTATTTTATTTTTGAGGGTAATATCTTTAAAATAGTAAAATTAATACCTTGTCAGTTTCGCATCAAAGCTAAAATTGTGCCAAGAGGCAGCCTGGCAGATACGATTTTTAACTCGCGAAACCGTTGAAAAAATAACTCCTATTAATATATATATATATATATATATATTTAATTTACTTGATTATTGTTATTATAAATACGGTTATTTACAAAAAATAAGTTGTAGTTATAACAGTATTTGTTTACTTGTTTATCGTCGTTACTTTAAATTTGTTACTTCTAATCCCAAAACATATTATTATAAGTTACGTTTGTGTTCAATAAGTTCTTTAATTTTTGTCCAAGGATACAAAGAAAAAATATCATGATTTATTACTTAATTAAATGCGCCCATAGCGAATATCCATAAAGTGACCATTTAATTAAGATACGATTCAAATCATTCGATAAAGAATATTAATGAATAGGGTTAGGAAATCATGCACTAAAAACCTACACTTAATACATTAAAAAGTCATCAACAATGATTTAAAAATAATTTTTTATTAACCAAAAATGCCATTACAAATTTTTATTTTTAAGACTATAATACAAAAAAAAAAAAAAACTTACACACATACAATAGTTTGAAAATCCTAGTAAAGTTCGGACAAAGCGTAGTGTAATTCTAGATTAATGTGTACTGCATTATAGGTTGATATACGACATATATCAACAATAACATCAATATTATAATAAGCTAGAAATTTAGAATTTAACGGCCGATTACTTATTGAAAGCATGCAGTGGCAACGTTTTTATTCTTTTAATCAAAAGTGAATTTATAAAGCTTTAATACAATATAGGATTCAATGTGTCATATGTCACAAAATATTTTTCGGTGTTTTCATATTTTACATAGCAGAACAATCGCTGAAAAAATTGTTTTATTAAAAGCAATAGTAACAGCTTTTTTCTAGATTGAATTTCATTTTAAATAAAGGAATATAGAACTAGTCTATGTTCTGAATCATGCAAAGTTTTTTTATATTATTCAATTTTATAATAACATATTTTCTGAAAAATGTGGATTTGCCAGTTTTTTACATTGAGCGATTCGTATTCGTTAAAAAATTGTTATATTGAAATTTCGATGTGTACCTCAATATGACAAAATGCATTTAAATACTGAAATATGTAAGTAAACGCTACCCAAATAATTAAAAGAACCTAAAATGCATATAAATATCAAAAAAATTAACAAAAATAATTTAAAATAATCCAATAGTACAATAAATTTATTCATTTATATAAATAATTAAAAAGTGCTAAATATTACACTTTAAATATTTAAATATTAAACATTAAATATTATAAAAAATTATATTTGTATTCTATGATGTATGAATCGTATTTTGTGCTCTATACATTAGGATACAAAAAAAATGCAAATGTCATATTAAAATATCAGGTCATGTATCATATTACTTATAAATAAATAACTTAAAAATAGCTTCAATAAAACTAGATAGTTTTGGTAGTTTTAGTATCCAATTTATTTAATTTTATAAATAATTGTAATTTCTCAAAAATGATTTTAAGTAAAACTGCAAAATAACGTTTTAAACGACTACCATAATATTTCATTTAAAAAGAGCATTAAGCTAATTAAATATATTTATATAAAATTAGCCTAACGTATAGACTGATGGTGTTATCGTGAACCATTTAATTGGTTGACTAATCAAATTTATCGAAATTTATTTTTGGCTTCTTTTAGTTACATATGTCACTCAATTTATAAATTATGAAGTATTTCTATGTTCATATTTTATCTTGTTAAGATCATATCAAGCAACATTATTTTTTTAACTAGTAAAATCTAGCTTGTATAGTATAAAATTATTTAATTAAGAAAAGGACTTGTTCAAAGTAATTTTTTTACTAGTACTATAGAATTTATTACCATTTTTATACCGAGGCAGAAAGGGATAGGTTACCGAGCATTGTTTTAAAATAATAAAAGTAAAAATGATAAAAATAATATCAACACTCATGCCTCACCAATAGTCATTATTTTAAGTTGTTAATAACTTCCGAAGTATTAATTTAAAAGTTATTATCGACCAGTCTTTTTTTTAGCTTCGATGCGAAACTGAGAATGTATTAATTTACTATGATGAGTGTTTTTTTTTATTAATTAATTTTTTTGTGTCTGTTACTACTTTTTCTCAGCTCTCATCGAACCAATTTCTTTTAACGATACGTCAAAAGATCACAAATGGTATCTAGTCGAAGACATTACCCTCAAAAATTGAAAAACTTTACCTCGTTTCCCGTAAATGGGGGAAACCTCCAAAAAAATTACAAATATAAAAAAGGCTAATTTTCGACATTTTTTCAAATTTTTTTTTACTTAAAACTGCCATAATTTTTTCAAAATTGAACAAATCAATATAATTTTTTTTTTATAGATGCTTAATGTCTTTACCTACCATTTGGTATTTTTTTTTATAAATTTGACCCTTTACCTGCCCACAGGGAGGGATTCAAAATGACAACTTTTTCAACTTAACTTTTGAAAATGTTCCGGAAATACTGACACTTTTAAATATATCTTAAATTAAAGCTAATATAATATACTTTATTATGGAAAAAAAAAATTTCGGACTTTACTTTGTCTTCACGATGAAAATGGCTACCGTATGCTATTTTTGTGTTAAAGTTCTCGATTTTATATTTTACATTTTTCACTTTAAAATGTTATAACTTTTTGAAAAATGTATGGATCAATACAATTTTTTTATAAGAAATAATATTTATATACTTATTTCATTCGACATATTTTAGCTTCGATGCGAAGCGGCGAAGGTATTAATTTTATTATGATGTGTTTTTTTTTCTCAGCTCCTACTGGACCGATATCTTTCAAAAATACGTCAAAAGATCACAATCGTATCTAGTTGAAGACATAACCCTTAAAAATTCCCTCGTTCCCCGCAAATGGGGGAAATATGCAAAAAAATTACAAATTTAAAAATCGCTAATTTTCGAAATTTTTTCACTTTTTTTTCTTAAAACTTCCATAACTTTTTGAAAAATCAACAAATCAACATAATTTTTTTTTATACTAAAATCTTAGATATCTACCTTTTATTTGATATCATTTTTTTGAAAATCTATCACTTTACCTGCTCATCGAGGGGGATTTAAAATAGCAACTTTTTTACAAAACTTAACTTTTTCAACTTAATTTTTGAAAATGTTCCGGAAATACTGCGTCCTTCAAACATATATCAAATCAAAGATTGTTTTATGTACTATAAAATGAAAAAAAAAAAATTTGTCCCGACACTTTTTTTTCTACATTTAAACGGCTGCTGTAGTTAAAAAAACACTATTTTTGTGTTAAAATTTTCGATTTTAAATTTTCAACTTAAAAATGCTCTAACTTTTTGAAAAATGTATATATCAGCACAAATTTTTTTTTTAAATATATTATAAGTACATATTTCATTTGACATACTTTTTATTAAAATTGGACAATTTCCCCTTATATAGGGGGCGTTCAAAACTTAAAATATTGTAAAAAACATAGATCTTTTTCAACTGAACTTTTGAAAATGTTCCGGAAATACTGCGTCCTTTAAACATATATCAAATCAAAGGTTATGTTATATACTATCAAATGAAAAAAAAAAATTTGTCCCGACATCTTATCTTCTATGTGCAAATGGCTGTCGAAAATTCTAAAAAAAATGTAATGTTTGCGATAAAAATTACATTTTATCGGGATGTTTTTTGTACTTAAAACTGCCATAACTTTTTCAAAAATGAACAAATAAAAATAATATTTTTTTGTATTGAAACCTTAGATATTTCCCTTTCATTTGATATAATTTTTTTTGAAAATCTAACACTTATTCTGCTCACTGGGAGGATTTAAAATAGTAACTTTTTTACAAAAAATAACTTTTTCAACTTAATTTTTGAAAATGTTCCGGAAATACTGCGTCCTTTAAACATATATCAAATTAAAGCTTATTTTATGTACTACAAAATGAAAAAAAAAAATTTGTCCCGACACTTTTTTTTCTACATTTAAACGGCTGCCGTAGTTAAAAAAACACTATTTTTGTGTTAAAATTTTCGATTTTCGATTTTAAATTTTCAACTTAAAAATGCTATAACTTTTTGAAAAATGTATATATCAGCACAAATTTTTTTTTTCTAAATACATTATAAGTACATCTTTCATTTGACATACTTTTTATTAAAATTGGACAATTTCCCCTTATATAGGGGGCGTTCAAAACTTGAAATATTGTAAAAAACATAGATCTTTTTCAACTGAACTTTTGAAAATGTTCCGGAAATACTGCGTTCTTTAAACATACATTAAATCAAAGGTTATGTTATATTCTATCAAATAAAAAAAAAAATTTGTCCCGACATCTTATCTTCTATGTGCAAATGGCTGTCGAAAATTAAAAAAAAATGTAATGTTTGCGATAAAAATTACCTTTATCGGGATGTTTTTTGTACATAATACTGCCATAACTTTTTCAAAAATGAACAAATCAAAATAATAATTTTTTGTATTGAAACCTTAGATATTTCCCTTTCATTTGATATAATTTTTTTTGAAAATCTAACACTTATTCTGCTCACTGGGAGGATTTAAAATAGTAACTTTCTTACAAAAAATAACTTTTTCAACTTAATTTTTGAAAATGTTCCAGAAATACTGCGTCCTCTAAACATATATAAAATTAAAGCTTATTTTGTGTACTATAAAATAAAAAAAAAAAAATATGCTATTTTAACAATTTTTTTTATTTTTTTAATTAAACACTATCTACAGATTTGCATCGAAGCGTTTTTTATAATAGTGATTTTAATCACTGTCAGATATCATCTATACTGGACCCAACTATGCCACGACCCCACTGTGCCGCCACCACACTGTGCTATCGTTTTTTTTTTTTTAAACACCGTTTCCTTTTGTATATTTATATATTATATATTTATTTATTTATTCATATATTACACTTATAAATCATAAAACTTGTAATCAGGATATAAATAAGGAATTAGAGATTATGTAGCTTTTGGAATAATCCACCAATTTTTTAAAATTAAACACTATCTAAAGATTTGCATCGAAGCGTTTTTTTTTTATAGTGGTTTTAATCACTGTCAGATATCATTATACTTGATTCAATTATGCCACGTCACCACTGCCGCGACCCCTCTGTGCTGGGTTTTTAATTAGATAATTTTCTAATACAAAAGATAATTAATTATTTATGTTTTCATAAAAAAAATGATTTTTGCTCCTTAATGAGATACGCGAAATGAATATAAAAATACTACATAATTGATATATTGAAAAAAATACTTAACTAAAATGAAACAAAAATTATTATTAATATTATTTTAATTTTTTGGATGAAAAGGTCGTTCCTATTAATAGATTCACCTGTATAAATATTCTGCTGATAGTGCGACTAGTGCTGATAACTTTTTACAAAAGTAGTATCTTTGGGATTAAATTTAAGTTAAATCTTGTATGTTTGTTTTAGCTTCGATGCGAAGCTGAGAATGTATTTTATGTTTCGCTTGTTTTTACCGGGTGGTGTAGTCTGTGTACTCTTTTTTTTTGGAGAAAGCCGTCATGGTTTCTTAACTTTATTTAATCCGTAATGAGTTCTTTGTAACATAAAAAATAAATAAAAAATTTAAAAGTATTGGTTTTATTTGACGTGGGTTAAATATTTAAAAGCCAAATATACATTGTAAAATGATTAATAATTTAGTTGGAATATAGTAATGAAATTCTCATGAAGTCAACTTTGATGGTTGAAAATTAATTATTTTTTTAAGATATTTAACTCATGTTTAAATATACTATATGTAGTACAATTAAAGTAACAAAAATTTAATATCGTTGGATATTTTATTAACTAATATACTTATAGTATATTTATAATAATATATCAGGGATTATACTATAGAAATATATAACATTATATATTGTTAAAAAAGTGTTGATTATTAAGTGTATATACTATATGCGCATGATTATCAGATAGATTGGATTTAAATAATTTCTTTCTTTTTTTTTCGCTTATTTTGATCGATGGTCAGTGACGGAGCTCATGTAACATATCGATATTAAAATTTTGATTTGTTCAACGATAAGAAGATTTACTTTATGGTCTCGTAATCCGACATTGTTGTACAACGATTTACTTACCTACAATCCGTCACTGTGAAGTCAATAAGAAGTTAAGACCGTTCATTGCCAATTGTCCTTTGGGTTAATTATATCTAGATTGATGGTGGTGCACGAGGCGTACCGTACGATGTCTGTTCGGTGGCTGGCCGTCCCGTACGATGTTGCGCCGTCGACCCGACGTCCTCGGGCCATTGCCTTGCTGCCACCGCCAACCGGCACGATACGCGATCCGGTCACTGTCCGTCAGCCGCCGCGAGGCACCGCCACCGCCGTTGCGACCGCCCGCCCTGACTCGCGCTTCGAGTACTCCCACCACGGCCACCGACGGTACAGAAGCACAGCTCCGGGCTGTTCTCCCGCTTTTCGCCCGTGGTCAGACGTCGTCGGCAGTCCGTCGTGCCTTCAAGCAGACACTCTACGCGGATACCACTACCAGTTGCGTTTCCGTCGTCGTTGTCACCAATTCCAACGCTGCCGCCGATATCGTCTTCTCGAACGCGCCGGTACCGTTCGTGTCGTTTGTGTATAATTATATTCGTGTTATTATTTCAAAACGATCGTTGTTAACAATAATCAGTGTCGTGCAATTAATTTAGTCGCGATTTCAAATCGTTTTAAAATTGACTTCGAGTGTTATCTTTTAGTAGTTTTATTTTTCTCCAATAAACTAAATACTGTTGCGGTTTTCTACGGGAGAGTTCTTATATTTTGTAATCGTATTGAAAAAAATTTCTGCCGGAAATTGTACCCAACTCGTTGTTGGTTCCGATCACGTGCTATGCGCAAAATCGCCGCTGCCCGGCCGAGTCGGCTTAATTGAGTGTTATAGACAAGTCGCGCAGAAGTGATCGGCTGTAGCATCATTATTACCGAAATAATTCCTCAATCGCCGGCCGCGGCCGCCGCTTGTGGAAAATGCACTTGCGGCAGCAGCGGCAACGGCCGCCGGCATGGTCGCCAATGGCCGGAGGAAGACGTGGATTACACCTCATCGGTCGAAACGAACAACGCTGCTAATCACCACTATAGCGATAGACATCATAATATTAACCGAGATTTTGATTGTCTCGGGATGGCGGAGACGGCTTCCGAAAATGCCGTTGACAAATGGGTCTGGCGACCACGGTGGCCACCCGGGCGATGGGGTAGTACCAGCCGCAACGAAAGATCTCGATGTAAAACGGCCGGCCGACCCCTTCACTGCCGTCCGGTGACAACCGTCCGTCCCGTCAAGATTTCGTGGTTGTTCTTAATCTTCACCTTTCTGTTGTTGATGATCAGGGTAAGCATAAACGATCTGTTTTTAATTGTTTTCACAATTATACGCATTGTAATTAATGTACAAATAAATACTACACGCTGAATACTTACCGTACTGTAAGATTTGCCTGTACGAATAATTAAATCGTCCGTTGTGTCGTACTTAGATTTAAAAATTGGTTAAAAAAGCCGCCTGTAAATGACGTATACGATTTTTTGGGGCACGCACTTACATGGCTGGCGTACACGGTATTTTTTACTCCAAAAACATCATTAGACATAATGTACTCGAACATGCGCCTAAACCTTTACAACACGCCTAAGCGATTAGATAGGAAACACCCACATAATTAATAAGGTATGTTGTTTATTCTTTTAGATAGTCAGTAAATTAGTTTTTTAAAATTCATTTTGATAATAACCCAGTACAATATCCGTTTTTTCATTGACATTAATACTGTATAATTTTTTTTTTTTTGAACGAGCGATTCAATGTTCGCCGTAAGTATTTGCACGCGATTATTGTGCGCCTATATAGTAATCGGTTCTATAGTTTTTTTTTTTTTTACAAATAACTGGTGCCGTTTTACATGTAAAATGCAGTTACAGTGTAGTACTTATATACGAAATTATTGGTTTGAAAAAATATTCGTTTATCTATCGAACAGTAGTAGTTATTATTTTATTTCATATTGCTATTACTTATGTCCCTGGGCTTATATGTATTTGTAAATATTGTTTGAGTAATATTAAAAGGTTTTTTTAAATTGTCGTTGGAATAACAGTAGCGTAAAGATATCATTCGTTTTAGGGGAACAAACCCCCTTAATTATCCTCAACGCAATAAACCCAAATGGAATACATTATTCAATTTCCAAGCCTATTAATTGGCATTTGTACGGGATGATAATGTGTTTGGAATGAATTAATAAAATTTATAACGCATATGAATCCAGAGTCTAGTTATTACATTTTTGTATAACACCGTTATTGAATGTTTTAAAATAAAAATATGTAGTTAAAAATAATATTACATAAAATATATCTGATGTAAATGTATATATCTAACAAGTGATATTTTCTAACTTCAAATTTATGTTAGATTACACATTTTTTTCTTTTAGGGGTTTTTATTAGTTTTTTTTTTTTAGTAACGTAAGGATTTCTATGATTTTGATGTTGCTAAATTCAAATTTGATATCAGTTTTTAAATTTGAGATTTTTCAGATGAGTATGAAGGGTTTTAATTTTAATTTTATGTTGATGATTGATGTTCATCATTGAGATATTTAATACGTTTTAATAAAAATTCAAATTATTCATGTACACGATTACTTTGTATAAATCTATCAATAAATTTGTGCTTATCGTTTTTCTTTTATAAATTACGAAAATATTGAAAATTGAGTTTGATTAGCAAAAAGTATAAAATATTATTTGTGTACAAAAAAAAAAACACAGAAAAAGAAAAGAGTTCTGGTATGATAAAATTATTGCTGTATATATTAAGTATAAAAATTGTTTTTTGAATTACTGACGGTGCAACAAAAACTAAAAAAAAAATATATAGTGCCGTAAAACTACTTTTTCGACATATTTTTTATTTATAAATGATTGTAACTCATAGACTTGCAAAAACTGCAATTATAAATAAATAAATCAGATATACTCATTGGAACTTCATCTCTAAATTTGACATGTTTTTAAACGAGTGTCCGGGGGACCTTAGTTCATTGGATACATTGGTTACAAATTTAAACACCAAACAGTTATTTTCTAAATCAGTTATTTAATAGGGTTAAATATATATATATATATATTGGAGTAAAAGCTCTTTACTTGTATTTTTATTTGATATATATTATTTTAAGTAAACTTTTATTTTAGTTAATAGTTTTAACACTACAATTTTTAAAGTGTAGATTAATTATTCAACAGTTGAGGTACGCATAGAAGTGTCAAAACCTTTGTATACCATTTTCTCCTTTTTTTTTAACTGACTGATCTCGTAGTTACTATTTGTATCAAACGTACTGTGCACTTAAATGACAGTCGTCGTATAAAACGTTAGCGATGGTAATAAAAGCGATTCGATTCGTGTTGTTTTGTGATTTTGGCCCTATTCGAGTTTGCAATAAACACGGAATGCGTGGAATAGCCAGCCATTCATAAAAAATAAATATAAATGCATCGTTTGATGAGAGTACAGAGACACTTATGATATCGTTACGGGTTTTAATGTTTCGTTAAATATTTTGATTGCAAACAATGAAAAACTTACTCTAGTTGCAAATTTGTTTTGTGTACACAAAAACATCATAATGATACCGTTAATGTAAAAAAAAAAAAAAAAACACGGTTAAAGACACATCAGTGTCGAACAACCCCGTGGGCTTTTATAAAGGGTATTGTAAACACCGTTTCCGCCTCTCTCCTCAGGGCTTGATGAGTCCGACAAGTTACAATTATCTCCACAACATCTAATTAAAATATCCGTAAGCTTGTATTATCATTATTTTTTTTTTTATAGAATTAGGTCAATATAACTTTAAACGGCTATGAAATTAATAAGAGGCTTTCGTGTTACAATAAACGCTTGAATATATTCAATGTGTTGCCGCAGATTTCAGATTTCAGAGCGGTCATAAGATAGTTATAAAATTGCCTCTTATTATATTTAATATTCCGTTTATTGAAATCAATTTATTCCGCTGTCTATATAATTAACACGTATTTACGTATACCGAATAATTTGGAGTTCCGTCGAAAGTATCATTCTGCGATACCTTCCAATACTTCAGTTGTGGCATTCTTTAAGGTGTTTTATAATAAAAAAAGACATCTTTGTTTTGTATACAAACTTTGATTGGCCATTCGGATTTTTTGCAATTAATAAAACTTGACTTAGATAATAAAAATTGAATTTCTTTATATATTGAAATTCCTTCTGAATTTTAAGGATATTCAATTACTTATAATAATTATTATGTATTGTACATTATAATTTTAATACAAATACACGTTTATAACGCGTAAAATAAACGTGACTTGGATTCATTTCATTATTATTCAATATTCTACAAAACTTTTTAACCATAAAGTAGTTTACGTTAAACATTAGGCACATAATAACATACAAGGGCAACATATTTTTAATGAATGTTGGTCCATGTTTAGATGTAAAATTAAATTTTAATGTTTTTATGCTTTAAATATAACAGTCATGATTTAGAATTTTTAATGTATCGACTTAGTTTTACATTTCTTATCTATGCTAAAATAAAATAACAATATTCGGCAAAAAATTTCTAGGCATAAATTTAGTCAAATTCTTTATAATTATCGTAACGCTTAGTATACATATTTAATATTCATAAAACATCCATAGAAATATAAACCTTTTGATTAACATCATTATAAATTGTCGTCAAATATGTTAAATTAATTATTATGCTACTCATGTTATGGTTTTCTATAATTATTATGATATTTAATTTCTAAAAGTTAAAGTTTTTTGACAGAACAAAAATAAATTGTTTTCGTAGTTTAAAGAAAATATATCAATCAGTTTTCACGTATAATTAACTTTTTAAATGAGCAAATGGATGTTTATCTGATGATCTCGAATTGATTCTACCGGTCGAAAATAGTTTTTTTTATTTAAGACTTGTGAATTTAAACATAATTTCATTGAGTTTTTTTATTTTTGAATACATTATTAATATACAACGGTTGATACTCAATTAAAATTAATATTATATAAAAATTTTATTAACATCAATATTTTAAATAGCCTATCAAATAATTTCCAAAAATAAACGGACTACGTTCCAGAGATCATATCATAGAAACATTATTTTGAATACGTTGCATTTGGATTTGTTATTTCAACTCGCAATAAAAATATATCATAAAATATAATTGCATCCTTTTTCCAAAAACCTGAACGCTGCACATTATCTTTGTTATTATTTTTATTTTTTCAGCCGACATATCGCAACGTTAAGTAGTAGTGACCCGTTTTCCACCGCTTATGCATTCGACCGCCGGCCGAAATATAAATAATAAAAACGCTAATTAACACGCTTATCACGTCTTTTTTGAACATAAAAACGTTAATAATAATGTAACGGTTGAGTCGCGGTGTGGCTTGTAACCGTCGATGTTTCAGATGTTGTTGGTACCGTTTGATTTTTGCACAACAGTTGAATGGGACTAGGAATAAAAAAAAATAATAATAATAATGGTAATTTAATTTTGAATTTTTAACCCCATAAAACAACATTTCAAGACTCGGAAAATGATCTTCGTCGTAACGCATTATGAATTGATTTGTGACCGCTGTGAGTTTTTGAAAATGTTCATCAGTCGTCGGTGAATAATAATTAACAATTAAACGTTGTACCAGATATTTTCATTTTTTACAACTTTTCGCCCTCGTCGTGCTTACTGTGGTGGAACGCGACGCCTGCTGAGCGCACAAGCTCCGCCCCCAGACGAAATCGCTGCACTAGGCCCGGCCTACCTTCTATTATTGTTAAAAAAGTAATAGTATAACACCACCACGCGTACTATGATAATGATATGTATTTTCACCGACGATTTTCTCGGACCTCGCCCCGGAGAGGGGTCGCGTTGGATTGTTCGTTTCGCTTGTTATCACCAACGCCATCGTTCAGAAGCGTCAAACATGTTATTTTTTCTTCACACGGATTTTTACGCGTTAATAATTTTACAGTATAATTTTTTTCTACCTCAGACAATAACCGTACGACGTGAATATAGTTTTTTCGTATGGTGTGCACGACGTGGCGTTCATACGGGTTTTCGGTCGGCCATAGGAGACTCGGCAGAACTTAAACCGAGGAATTTCCGGGTGCAGAGAGATCTATGATTATTGTTAATTAATGTGTATGACAATATTGCGGTGCAACTGTACATCACAAATTGCATATGAACGGATTCGAGTTCTACACAAACGAAGAACGTGCGGAGGATTTCAATTGCACAGTGAAACTCGTCGACGTCGTTTACAGACACAGTACCGGACACGGTCTACAAGAACGTACAAATACTTTTTTGTTGAGCTTGGCGTGCGTGTTCGGCCTCGGAGATATGCGACTTCTTCGGCACTTTAATGTTCACGTTGTCGTAACAATAAGTGTACCTGGCTTGCTATCGCGTGATGGATTGGTTTTATTTTCATCAAATAAAAAACTGCAATAATCTCATTTGTTCGTGAGATAAAACAATAGGAAAGAGGATTATCGTCGAAGTGGATGTTACAAATCATTACAAAGATAACTCAGTCATATTTTATAGCTGTGCAATTATCAACTGTTGATGAAATATTATTTATGCTGTTTTGTAATGTTTGTGAATAAACATTTTTGTTTTTAGTGCTTATTGAAAAAAATATATCTATGTTTAATGAAAAAAATCATCTTTTGTTTCCCGTACGCCGAGTAAAGATTATAAATTTAGCATTGCTTAGTCGTTAAAAAATTATTTAACCAGAATAAAATTAAGGAAACCGTCAACATCTTCAATCGTTTTTTATAGATTTAGTTTTTATCATTCAAGAAATAATGTTAAATAAATATTTCTAGCGTTTCTTAAGGCGTTGGCGATTTTTCATCATTAAACGAACAAGAGCAGAACTACAGATGAATTCGGTTTTCAATTGTCGTCGTCCTCCTCAATAAAATTTCATACACGAGTACTCGTCGAATTACACGAACCACTTTACCGCGCGCGCAAAAAAAAATGTCGTCGCCAACAAAGTGACCGTCGTGACCATTATTGACGCACGCTTTGCTGCTCTCTGGGTGGCTCACTCGGGTCGAAGGCGGTTCGCAGGGCACATGCAATACGCGCGCGGCCAATGGACCAGTCATTGACCACTGACTCGTGTTTCAAGCCCCTTGGCAGTCCCTCCCCGAGGGCCAGTGATCGGTGGCACGTTTCTATTTAGGTCCTAAACAATGACGGCCATCGTCGATTACTATTTATACAATGCGTTATTATTGTGGCCGCTGGAAGTGCCACCCATCGTCACCGTCGGTCGGATTACTATTTAGTTGTTGACAAATCACTTTGTCATTTATCACGGCCGCGTGGCTGTATCCGCATCATCATCGGCCGGTAACAATCGCCGTTGTCCGACAACAACAATGCAATATAAAATAATAGATAATCGTATCGGTGCGCGGGCAACAATGGGCGATGGCCCAAAACGTCGACGACCACGGCGCGGCGATTAGTCGGTGTGACGGCCCGCAAACGGCTCCCTATGGGAGACAAATAACTCATTTGCAGTGCTCGCGCCCACGAAAAACGCCGTCGCCGGTTATTATTTTATATTATTATGACGAATTATGCTGTTTGACGCGTGAGATTACCAGCCGAGAATGAACAATTTACGACAACCTGGCCGAGTGGTACTTGGTAGGTGGGTAGGTATTTAACCCGACCGCACTGGCGTGTGGTGTTTACAGTGTTATGCTATTATCATTATTATTGTATTATGTGTGCCGGCCGTGCAGCACTTTATAAGTAAAAGCATAATTTTGCGCGCTTCTGTCGTCACGACCATCACGCGACTGTCTCTCTATAATGTACGCAACGCCCCCGCGCACCAGCCTTGTACAGCAGTTCGATTTTCTTTGTCGGAGAAGCCACGAGGTTGGCCTTAGAATATTTTTCCAATACAAACGGTATGCGAGTCGGTGAAATGCTCTCGAGCCATCAATCGTGTCCCAATTAACGTTGGCCCTTCACAAATAAACAATGCTGACCATCCCAACAGGGCGAGGCACTTTAGTTGCGATTTGCAAACGCGTTACCTGTACGACTTACCCGGGAAAGGGATGCGAGATGGAATGGAGGCTGCTGCTGCTCCGGTAAACGTGAAAAAGACCAACGATCTCGTTTTTTTCGCTCGAGTCCGTTTGATGTGCGAATGTTAGTGACACAGAAACGTTAAAATCCAATAACGGGTAAAAAAAAATTTTAATAACGGAAATAACAATCTGGTCGTGTAAATTAAATAATTTAAGAATATCCGTCTGTGATTACTCAGATACGCTAAACGTTATACATGTTTATACACTGCCAGTGGAGTTTTGTGTGCATCGTGTATATTTAATCATTGCTTGTCAGTGTAGGAAATTAAAAAAAACACATGTTTTTCGATCGTGGCCGCATATTATTATGTACACAGTGTGTATAGGTTCTATTTTTTATTTATGCGCTCAGTGACCGCTCAAATTATATCATCATTAAATACGTGTAATTATATTAACATGCGTGTTCTATCATCCAAACTGTGAACTATTATAGAGATTCCGTTTTATCCGCTGTGGCCGAGTTGAACATAAATTCACTGTTATTGCTTAAGGTAATTCTTTAAAATAATGTTTCAAACGAGACTAGACTATTTAATAAGCGGAAATTTCACAAAAATAGTATTTGCGCAAAAAGATTACCCAATAAGGCTAATAGTAAAAGAAATTCGTGCAAACTTTATGTCCTGAATAATTTTTTAACAGTGAAAAAAACTGTGCAAAGGAAATATGTGGACGATCTCGTACGCGAGCAAAATTTTTAATTATTAATATTTCTTATCGTAATGAAATCGGTTAGTCAAACTTCAGAAGTTTCGGTATTTTCGATTTGTGTACTCTTTATCTGGTCATATCTTGTTGACGACAGGGCTTATGTCAAAATGTCTAAATTTTAAAGAATTGTAATGAAATTTTTTAAGGTTCTTCGCTAGTATCTTTCCGTGTTATGCCCGTCTTTGTCGTTTAATTCATCCGGAACTATTTGTACCATTCCTAACAATATTGTGCAAGTGATTAACGATCACTATATTGTGTGACTTGTGACTCATTTAGTGATTCGCATGATAGTTACCCATTGCGGAATGTTATTTACTAATTGTAATAGCGAGTAGTTAAATATGCTAAGAACAAAGTGTCATGGCCGACGTAACCAGATATAAAAATGAATAAATACATAAAATTACTTGGACCCCATTAGTTCTCGAACGGGTACGAGTGCAATTGTAGTAAATTTCTTTGGTATTGTTTTGTACCGAGTGAGACACTTTGTTTTTATTTTACACAATATGTGTAACATTAATAATTATGTATTTACACTTGTATTAATTTTTGCATTTTTTTTTTTTACAGGACGCTCGAGCTTTGGGTTTCTTCGAACTGCAAATATTAGAAATCGAAAACTACCGCGGCCAGTTGGCCACCGGCGAGTGTTGCGGCTCGTCAGCTCCTATTTCGTCGCCGTCACGGACCAATTGCATCGGAGCGCCTCAGTGCAACACGTTGTTCAGGGTGTGCTTACGGGAATACCAGAGTCGACCGCCGGCCGGTGCACAGCCGTCGCTTGCCGTGCAGCCGGCCGCCACCGCCCCCGTCGGATCCACTCAGCTCCAGTGCTCTTTCGGCAACACGTCCAGCCCGGTATTGGGTGGAAACTCATTTACCCTGACCGATTCGGACTCGTCCGATAGCCGGGGACACCTGTCGTTACCGTTTTCGTTTAGCTGGACGGTGAGTAACCATTACGCATTTAATAAATAATAATGAAATGGACATATGCATGACGTTATTTACATACTTTGATTGTATCATTAAACGTTAATAATATAAAAGTATATACATATATGCGTTAGAAGTTGTGTGTATATATATATATATATATATATATATATATTTGTATGTATATCACACTATAATATAATTTATATTAGAACCCGTCGAGCGGACGGATAGTAATTACTTTTAATCTAAACCCTCGAAACGCGTTCGGGTTTTTTTTTTTTCAATACGTTTTAATTGGTAATTATCTACTCAAAGTTTAGACGAGTATATTTCTACTAGTGTGATGCTTTTGATTTTCGCGGAAGGAATGTGCGCATTAAAATCACAGGAAATACCGCGGTAACGCAAAATACACCCAACGTTTCGATGCCAATACGTCTAAAAAGGCAATTAATGTGACTAAAAAACGATGATAATCAGACTCGTATTTCATTATTGTCGAGCATCAACTCTATAGAGCATACCGATTCTTGTATGAATCATCGTGCACTTGAATCGGTTGCAAAATGCCCGTCATTGGTTGTTGTTTTTTTAATTGTGTATTTTTTAATACCGCAGCTGTTTTCACGCATGTTCGACGACGTTTCGGGTATTGCGTACGCAATGAAAATATTAAAAAACGTCCAAATTCTATTGGAATTTAATTCTCGAAAATTGTTTCGACCGCGTTTGCACGGCAAAGGGGCGTACCTCCAATAAACGGCGGCAGTATTATCCTCAATCATTACCGTGTTGTTATTATGCTTTCCAAACACTTTGTCGACGACCTGGAGACGGACGTTCGCGTGTATACATTATGTACAGTGTATCTACACACACACAGACTCGATACATAATCACGAAAAACTCAAAAAAAACCGATCGTCGACTGGGTCGTCGTCGCCGCCAAGTCAGCAGATTTAAAACCCGTTTAATCCCGGGAATATTTAAATGCCTCTCCGCGTGCCGCCCATCCATCTCGCGGGTTTCTCGTTTCCAAAGCCGCGTATACACGTTTAATAATATTTTCCAAGTATGCCGTACAAAAATCGATACACTTACGGTACGGGAACATAAATCGTATTAGTCAGCCACGCGCGCTGCCATACTTATTGGTCTTTTATGATAAACATCGTGATCGTCCTCACTGAGCATTCCGACCGCGGCCTATTAAAATATGATATTTTTTATTTCGTTTTCCATCTCAATCCGCCCGCAATAAACGATAACCCGGCCGTCGTGTGCCCCCATACTTATACCAAAGCCGAGGCGCTTAAACGGTTATTTTTTGTGCCGCCGCGCTCTCCGTCGCCCTCTCAATTAATCGTAACTCTCAACGGCACGCCGGGTTTACAAGACATTTAGAGTACCCCTCGAATTTTCTTATCCGATTTTTTTCGTCCGTTGCAACGGTTTAAACAGTCACGATTCCCTTGCCGACTCGTGTGTAATCCGTTCGCCACGATTTCCTCGCTGACCACACACCGATATATCAATCGACGACCGTTTTTCTTTTTACTCCAACAACTATAATCTTTTGTTGTGATCCGTGTGTTTTGTTGGTTTCTTTTTTTTTATCTTTGTTTTACCGGACGCTAGAGATTACGATATTGTCGACTCAATCGGTCGACTCGGCGTTTATACAATGAACCCAAATGATATATTATCGATCCCCTAGAGATTTAAATAATTTTGGTTTGTGTTTCTATGGTGGACACAACAAACGACGACGCGCATACCAAAACAATGACCGAGGCGGTGACAATTTATACATTCGATTTTTTCGGTATTTATCAAGAATTGTATTTTTTAGAATTTAATTTAACCTCTATACTCGTTTGTACCGTAGGTATATATATGAATACAGTTGGAACTATATATATAAATAAATATATATATATATATCGGTTTTTCGTTAATTGGCTCGGATCTCACAGACACTCGGCGGCGGCAACCGGTCTGTCGCGTCGTCGTCCACCATGGCAACACACACACAACTCCTCTACACCGCCGTGTGTGTCCGTCTGCCGCGATACTTCTTTTTTTTTTTTTTTACCTTCTTATCACACCGCGTTACAACATTAACAACAACGACTACACCACCACCGTCACCACCCTTAATTAAAAAGAAAAACACCGTGCAGCCGTCGGTCGCGCACCTGCACGACGCGCACCCCCCCCGTAGGATGCCAGAACTTTTCCATCGAGGCGGCGACGACGACGGCGCACCGTCGTTTCCGCCAGCGAATCACACGGTGGAAATTGAATTTTTCTAGCGCGATTTGGTCGACCGGTAGCCGCCGCGTTCGGTTACGTGTCGGCCGGCATAGACCGCGAGACGATGATGGACACAAATATTTTCGACGCCGGCCGTTAATTGGGTCTTTTCCCGCGAGCGCGTGCTCTTTGCTTTTCATGTGCGCGCACGTATGTTTATATAGCACGAGACGGTCATCGCATACCTGTCCACCGAGGAATTCCTGTCGGTGGTGGTACGACAATCGCCGCCGTCCGAACGCGCTCAAACGTATTTCTCTCGATTAATTAGTGAATTCCGCCAGTTGCTTTTCATCTCTGACGTGTTCTTTTTTTTTTTTATTATCATTTTTTTTTTTTACCGCCACCGTCATTATTTTTTGTTCGTTCTTTTGAGTTTACATCGGCAAGCCGATCACTTACGCCATTAAAAAAGAGGTACAAGACCTGTGTCGTCGAAGGTTATATGTTGGTTATATATGTTCAACTAGCAAAATGAATTCGGTATCATTGGCCATTTTTTACCGTTTTAGGCGGAACGCCTAGTGTCCCTACTCGCCGTTATTGCCGTATAGACTATAAACGTCCACAAGCGAATCACGCGGTGTGGTTTCAAACTCGACGTATTGACGTTACGGCGTACTTGGTTTTATTAATTATCGTCCGCTTTGTTTTGTAAGCGCAGCACGAGACGCGATTGTAGGAGTTAATTAACACGTCGGCTGTGTGTATAGTTATGCAACATATGCGTACCCGCAGTGTGCGTTTTTTATTCGATCTGTTCCGAGTTGAAATCTTGAAGTTTTGCCGAGAAAAACGACTTTGCGTGCGCGCTGGTTAGTCGGTTTGCGTGCAAACCGGGTTCGTGCAAATTTAGTCATTTATCAAGCCGTTAGTACTCCGGTAGTGTATTATTTTTCGGCCTTTGTCTGCATGCGAATCTCATTAGGCAGTCACGTTGTCAAAAAGTTCTATACGGAACAAACGCGTAATTAACGGGAAAACGGTTTTTTTATTTCTCGGAACGCAGTGCTGTTCGGAGGACGGGCACAGCAACGTGCAGTTGATCTCGTTAACACATTGCCCGAAGCGCACATAGACACTATTTGTGTCCATTATAGCAACGCGGATGCAGCCGATAAGTTGCAAACGTTTTGCGTCGGACAAACAGACCAACAGCAGCATCACGAGGGGATCATTTACCGCAGATATTCTATAGTGATAGATTTTATTAACTCTGAACTATATAATCCGTATGAAATATTATTAAGTCGGTTTCGACATATGGGACGTTGGGGTTCGGGATTACCCAGTCTATTGTTTCAACCCCTCCTGATCCGATACAACAGTTGACCGCGATGTCCCCTGCGCGCACCGACAGCGAGTGTGTGTGTGTGTGTGTATGTGTGTGTTACTGCTGCAACGTTGAACACTTGTTGTTACTTCGGTACTTTGCAGTCCCCGCAGGAATAACGTGCAGTCGATGAATGAATGGACCGAAACAATACAACGATAATTTCGTAGTCGTCCCCGGTCATCTCTTTTTAATCCGCCAGCTGCACTTGGACGGAGCACGAAGGGGAGAGAACCGAGAAGGACTGCCGCGACATTGCGGTCATGAGGCGACAGTGCGACGAGGGTTTGCCTACATACACGGACGATTAATTATTTAATGGTATATAGTGTACATTTTTTTTTTTTAAAGATTATGATGGAGTGCGTTTTTTTTTTTATTGCCGATTCTTCTGATCTAGACGCGCGTAAACACGTTTGAATTTTTTGTCGGTCGCTTCGGCAGGGGTCTAACACACATGTGTGTTCCCGCGATCCCTTGCAGAGCGTGTAAAAGTGTTTTTATTTCGACAACATTTTTTTACGTTTTCATGTTTTTCTTAACCCTACTGTTTTTACATTGAAGTCGCCACGCTCTTATCCTGCCGCGTGTAACATGTGTCAATACCGTTGACTGTAATCATAAAGTCACCACCACAATCGACACATTATTATTATTATTATTATCGCATACTAAAATGGAAGCGGTAGCGATGGGTCACTTTTATTGAGGTGTCTCTGCGGTGACCGCGTCTACAACATCACGTGGTTATTACCATATACACACGTACGGTCGTCTCGGTTTGCCGACCAACGGCAATGCACAGAGCCGTCGCTACTCGTTAATAACAATGCGTTAACAGTTTTAACCGACGCCGACATTTGGTATAATTTGTGTACCGAACGCTGTAAACGTTGTGTTCCATTTCTCGTGGGAATATTTCATTTAATGACGGCCAACAATTTTTTAAACCAAATTTCCACGACTCGCCACTTTAGCACATAAAATTTAATTTGTCAAATTACAGTTCTATACGATATGTATTAATTTGGTAATTGGCCAATACTTATAATATGAAAAATAATGCCATCGAATAAAAAGGAAGAACGTATGAAATGCCGAAAGAAAACAAATGATTTAGGCGGCTCTCATCGATGTGGCCTGTTACCAGCCCCATATATATCTTATAATTTTTTTTTAACACGCTCGTTTAGCACATCTATTTGTAAGCCATACGTCAGTTTTGGGTACTTCGGCTAAAACCTTAACAATAGGATATCTCACATTATTATGTATTTTAATCAGAAAAACTATTATCGATTAACCGTTACAAACACATTTGAACATGAAAATTAAATTTAAATAAACAAAGTTTAGATGC